CTATCTTCAAGGTAGTTGCCACTGTCATCCGTTGTCATTATTTTGCCCAACAAACGATCATTTACCATCAACGATTGAGGTGTCACCATCCACTCTCGGGGTTTGTGGAGAGAACGGGAGAGAGAACGAGGATTGTGTCACGCACGTTGACTAAAACGCAGTCAAATCTCGACTTGGACGTCAAAAAATGTGAGCAAATTTGCCTCCCACCGTTCGCTTATTTAATGACCTACATCAGTTGATCCGCAAGAGTTCAATGTCTCCTTTGCACTTATCAAGACGGAGAATCGGGTACAATCTTGTGGCACCAAGGCCTCATAATGACGACCATGAGGAGGGACAACCATGTGGACGAAGTAATCCACACGAGAATTATTTGATCATGCGGTTATGATGCCACCTCGTTCCTTTTTTTATCTCCATGTCATTTAAAGGGGGATATTTGAGTAGTCGGTGTCGATAATGGGATCACCATCTGGGTAACTAAACTTGTAGTCCTGGCGAAAAAAGGGCTCGGAAGGGGAAGAAGAATACACCCTGTCAACACTTCGCCTTCCTCGTCAATGCAATGCCTCTCAGAAGACCTGAGCTTGTCACTCCATAACGAGGTGATAGTTGTTTGGTTATGGGGGATTGTGGGTAACCAGGGCACCAACTTGCCAAATCACTGCAGACGTTCTCATTGCTGAAGCTCAACCGAAGAGGACGTGTAATGTGACCACGTGACTCGGCGGGGTCACCGCACCAGCAGAAATGTCAATTTTACGCGTCAACAGTTATTCAAGTTAGCCAATGTGGCCTAAAATAAATGCCCTTCAGAGGGGTTACAAACTACTCACCAATTCGTGCTACTTTAATGAGAGTGCTTCATTTACTCCTCATGAAGTTGAACCATAAATAAAAGGTGACAAGGGGGAAGGCACGTTTGCCACAAGTCTGAGTGATTAAGATATCTCGAATACTTGGCCTCTTCCAGACCGATGGGCTGGCCACTGGAAGCCCACATGGGTCAAGGTCATCCATGTGGTGTCCAGTGTAGGCACCTCACTTGGTCGCCTCCTGGACTTCAACTGTGCCCATTTAAAGGCCTCATATGTGCTTTTTTTTGATATAAATCCCCCCACGTCCTGCTTAAATTAACTCAACACTGATTGTAATTAGCAGCTCACGTCACGTTGAATGTTGCGCTCCTTTTTTAAGCACAATTTTGCGGAATCGTAAGTAATTGTTTTCAGCTAAGCAACTTATTCCTCACCTCTGTGTGGCCTGCATATTCAATTAAAAGGGAATGTTCTCCGTGCTATTTTTAAAAGAAGAAAATTTCAAATTGTCATGAATCTCCCACCCGTGTAGGCACTACTTACCGCGGCGACTTCATCTATTGCCACAAGGAGATGGAATTAAATCTGATCCTGAAAAGAGAGCCCGCAAAGCCAAAGTATGGGTTTATTTGAATGTTTAAAAAGCACCCCTAATCAAAATAGACCCTTTTGTTCTAAGTTAAGAGATGGCATAACAGTAATAAAACAGGAGGAATCTCTAGGTGGAAATTACCTGCTTGCCATGAAATGATTAAAAGAGGTGATTTAGCCTAAACATTCTGAATGGGGGCTACTAATGGTACGGTTTACAACAAGACAGTAAATGTAGATGGGTGATAAATTTGAAAACGTGCGTCTTAGGAGGTCAAATGAATAACATTTGGTCATCTGCTTTCGCGTTTTATAAAAAGGGGTGGAGGAAGGGGGATATTAGCCATTAGATGCAACGTTGAACTGCTTTGAGCAGGCAGGAGTCGTCTCTTGTGAATTGTACAGTTTGAACTCGTGACCGATATCAATCCATCAGGTGGATAATAAAAGGCTTGTTCAAGAAGCTGCCAGACACTGCAAAGTATGCAATGCGCAATGGACCATGTCTCACTTCCAACCGGTCTTCACATGAGGGAGACAAAGCATTGCGGCTGATCTGACAAGCACTGACGCATTTCAGCGCTGATTTTCCTCCTTCCTCATCTCTCACTTCACTGCTAGGGCTGCGTTCGAGTCCTTTAAACCACTCACAGGCATCAACAACATTAATGAGCACTCGGAGACACTGTTTATGCTGACACCGCCACTTAGAAATAAAAGATTCATGAAAGAATGTCATATTCCCGTGGAGGTGACTTACGCATGCCGATGAAGCTGGCCCTATGCATCAGGTGTTGACCTTCATGGATAAAATTCAGGAAAAGCCACGATGTGCTCAAAACAGACAGCAATGAGTCGCACGACACACAGACACGAGACATTAGCCCTCCCCCACCCCCACTGGCACCTGCCTCCTCACCCTTACGGTCTCTTGTCCACTTTTAAATCCACGTTACGAGGTGCCGTTGCAATGTGGAGGAGGTGATTCCACTCTGACTGCCCCACGAATTCACAACAACTCGATTCCGTAGCTGTTGCACAACCTGGCTGCATGGCTAGCCATCCGATCAGCCAGCCATACACCTAGCTGCCTTCTCGTCAAATTCGTTGCAGGACATGCGGAGATGGTGGAGTACGCAACATCCGGTATGGCGTACAGGGTAAGCAGAACCGGAAAGAGAACAGCCTACCACTCACCCACCCACCCACCACCAAATGGATGAGACGAAGCGACTGGTTGTGGTGATGGTTGGTTCACTCAAAAACGCATGAGTCACGAGGAGGAAGACTGCGCATTCTCGAGTAGAAAGGAGGGGGAGGGAAGAGAGGAGAGAGTAGAATGACACGACGTGTGGTCATTGAGTGAAGTAAGGAGAGATGATGGTGTCAGCAGGGTGATGCCTGCAGACCTGTCTGCAATGCGTGACGAGTCGATTGGTGTACACATGAACGAACTGAGAAAGTGGAGTGAGTGGAGGAAAAGTAGGGTGGGATTGTGTGTGGTGGGAGGGAGGTGAATGCTGTGGACGCGACTGCGCAAATGTGTTCCATCCACATGCACATTACCATCTGACAGCATGTTTTAAAGGACACCAAATGACCACCAGCATCCTCACTGACTGACTGACTGACTAGCTGACTGCCTAAATGGTTGACAACCATGTGACACGTCATGTGTTTTGTCTTTTATTTCAACGCTCCTCAAGCCAACACACAGGTAGTTGTTGATTGTCCAAATGGTCAGCCGCCTCGAACGCACGAAGCACAGTCCTGTCGACTGTGACAGCAGTCAAATCACGTAGGCGTGAGGAGGACTGAGCCGATTGGAGACAAGTGGAGGGTGTGCAGGTCCACCTTCCCCCCACCCCACCCCCACCCCGAACAGGGAGAGAAAGAGTCGAGATGAGTGAATCCGGAGGAGGGGATTTCTGCCTTCGATCTGCCAGGACAACACGGCAAGTAAAAGCACGTGGTGCAAGACGCGAGCGTGGTGGGATTTGCACAATGGAATGTGAGGGGGTGAGGTGGTGAGGGTGTGAGGCTGTGAGGTAGAGTGGGATTGAGTGACGTGGGGATGGAAAGGGATGTTGCCTCCTCCATGTTAGCATCCACGTGCACATCTCCACTCTCACTGGACGTAGACATTGGCCAATCACATGAACACATACAACACGGAATAGGAAAGCCAAAGAAGCAAGCACCAGATCATGGAACTGTGGCTTCTCCATTGTTTTGCCATCATGGGTCTAAGAAAGAATTAGTAAAAAAAGGGGCTTTTCGGCCGCTATGCTTAAAGCATCGGATGGTTTGTAATTCTTTTCCCAATACGTAAGAGATGGTTTGAATGTATGTGCAGATCAAATCTTTCTTTAAGCAAAGTGACTACTGTGATTACAATTATCCAAGAGTTGATGGTATTTCATGCTGCAGTGACGATAATGCATGACAGGTATGGGGTTAGTAGCAATAGTTTATTGATATTCATTAGCCTATTCGTACGCATTCAAGGCGTAGACCTTGGCAACTGGAATATAAATAAAGTAATGCTGACAAACATGTTTACTAGACTTTTGGATTTTAAAGATGAATGCTAGAGAGAATGGACGCATCGGATCGTTTAGGTATCCGCCACTATTGTCACATACATGTGACGCCCTGGTTCTCCCATCGGAGCTTGATGTCACAAATATGTGACATGTGTTCTTAATCAGATTCTGAAGCTTGGTTGCACCGAATCATGACTAGCAGTTAAACGTGCCATCCGCACTGTGGTGAATAATCGTGCTCTGAGGAAGGCAACATATCCCACTACTCTGACGAAGTTCCACGATTCGACCATGGCGTCGTCGGCGCCATTACGGTGTGCTGCCACAACAGCAAGCCATTGCAGTTAACCCACTTCCTAACCCCAAACCTGTTAGCAAAGGCTAGGTATAATGCCTAAAATGGTTAAAAAATCACCTAAGCAAGTCACGAGGTTTGCAATTACTGACTGTTGAAATGTACATTCTATTCGTTATACGATCTCTGCACTTGAGCTTTTCCATCGTGGTGAAGTACTTCCGGTAAAGACTCAAGGTGCCTACCGACACCGGTTTCAATTAAGCAGCCCTTAATGCGATGGTAGGGTTTGCAACTGGCTGTCGTACAACAGAAACCCTAGAGTTAGAATTCCGGTAATCCCATTAAACTAGTGAGCATACCTTTTCAACCTTATCCTTGGAAAACTGCCCTTTTTTGGTTATGCGGTCTCTTAAGACTACGCCTTTGTACTTCCGCTGGGCGAAATGGCCTCTGAGCCATGCCAATAGCCTCCACCTCTCCCCTTACAGCCCTCTTGTACGTCGGCAATACATTTTCTGCAAAAGTACAGTGTGTTCTTCCACCTTCAGGAAAGACACGCCGCGTCACATTGGTGACAGTGGAGAACAAACCCAATCCTGGAGGACATTTGCCCTGATTTCTATTACGGACTGCTAAACCTTGACGTGATGAACAAAGGGAATATACTGTGGATAGGAGAATCTGCGACGACCCTTAACAAAAGGCCTGAAAATGAAGTTTACCTTTGGAAACTACCCCAGTTCCGTGGCATGCGGCCATGCTATTAACTAATGAGTTTACTTTTCGGCCGACGCCCACTTTTAAAAGGGAGATGAAATTACGCCAGCTCATTGGGCACTATGCCAACTCTTCCTCAACCTTGGCCTCCCATTGGTCAGTTGTCCGTGAGTCAATCGGGCGGTCTGACGAATCGGCGTAGATGAGGTGAACCGGTGAATATAAACGCAGTTGAGAATATCATTTAATCTTAGCAAATCTTTTCCACCTCGGGACACCTTCTCAACCAATCGATCAATCAATCCGTCAATCAATTACCTGCGGTTATGGTAAACATACTTATTTTCTTACTCTCTTGTCAGTTGATACATTTTGTGGCAATCAACCCTTTATTTCTGGTGGGAATTAATGAAGTAAATGACTTTTATAAGCTTTTTAAATTACACGATATCATTTAATAGTATATTCTTTTAGGTGTCAACTTCCAAATAAGTAGTATAGGTTGTGTTTGTGAATGGCCTATAACCCTGGTTAGTACGTTTATTTGATTCGGTATCACCTGTCTTAGAATGGATCCATTGATGTCGACCGTTTAACCGATGTGGTGATGTTTGGTCACGTTGACCCCGCCGTCTACTTTTGTTGACCCATAGCGTAAAAGCATCCACATGACCTTTATTATTTAAGCCAGTCGATTCTTGTCTTTTGAAAAATAAATAAAGCAACTTAAATGACACTGACATTTGATAACTTTACCGTCTTCACTGATGGTACAAAATTCTCCTCTTGAAATTGTCCTTAACGCAATTCAGTGTATGACAGCTCCAATCATTCACGAGAAGCCGACCTGTCTAACCATAAAGGTCAAATTTTTTGGCAGCTCTTTGAATAATTTAGAAGAGTAGAGAAGAATATTTACCAGGAAAAATAAGGATGTGATCATTCAGCCCGGGGGGTGGTATCACACAAACCCTGACCCCCCTGAAGTTTCTCCGGAAGCATTGTCTTCTAAGGACAGGAATTTCGCACCAGCGGACAATAGGCCGACCGACAAAGAAGTGAATCACCGAGTTGGTCCTGCACAAGGGGGCGCTACGCCCCACCGACTAATTACCGAGTAAGGAAAATAACAAAAAAAAAACACAAATGAAGCAAAATAGGATATTTAATCAGTCAAAAAAGCCAAAAAAAGTTAAAATTAAACATTTGTTAGTTAGTTTTTGCTTTGTCATTAAGCAACAAGTTTGAAATGTGACACCTCACCTGAAAAGCTTCGCCTTGGTGAAGGGGGGATGGGTGGGAAGGCGGAGATTTTGCACGGCCACAAAGTCATGTATTCTTCCTCTTCTCTCCGTCTGTCTAGTTGGGTAGCCCTACCCCTCCCCCCTCCCGCTTCCCAATAATTTGACAATGAATTTGTACGTACCTCATTTGTAGGTCAAGAAAGTAACCCTCGTTAGTAATCCGATCCGACCAATTTCGTGGTTTGGACTGGCGTGTTTGGTCATCATAGTCTTGTCATACGTGTCAGAGGGCGAGGCCCACTTTGATCGGGCCAGTGTGGAGGAGATTTTGCCTAGCAAGAGTGGCCCCGCGGAAGCCAGGAAACAAATATTTCGCAATGTCAGAGAATTTAGACGTTACCTTCAACGGTTGGACGAGTGGCTAGCTATCACAGGTAGACCTAGGTACGTACTCCCTTGTCATTGTCCTATCCACCGGACAGGTTGATCCATTTTTTTTTCCTCTTTTAGATTTGGATGAATTGGAGATTCACAATTTGACGGCCAGTCGGTCACTTTTGTTTGATCAATACAAAAAATCAGTACAATATTTACCATTTTTGTGTTTCACCAAGAGGGATATTTGGGCAAAAAAATGTCTTTTTTTTCGGTGTAATTTCGCTTTGCCTGTTTTACACGCACACTCTTCAACCTCGGATAGCGTGGATGACATCGCCATGTCAAAATTTGATGTATGATGAGTAAAAAGAAGGCGGGGTATGTGTGGGTAACGGAATAGCCTGCCGACTTGATTGACTGGTGATGAGAAAGAGCGAAGAAGACCCTGTGTGAGTGGATTTGTGTATAGTGAATTGGAAAATGACACATTCCATATGAATTTCTTGCTAGAAGCCAAAAATACCTACAAATGAGATCTGCTTACCCAAGACAAAAGAAGTAGAAGGGTTCAAAGAAAAATTACTTCTCGAGAAGGAGTCAGGACCTGGCACTTCAAGTCACAGAACTTATCTTTGCGAAGGATTGCAGAATGAGAAAATGGAAAGCGAGACATGCGAAGATGGAGAAACGAGAAGTGTCTCCATCCTCACCGTCCCTGTTATCCTCCCTTTAGATGATCTTTCTACAGGCGAGAGTTGTCACCTACCGTTTGACAATCACATGAACACGCGCAAAACCGAGTTGACAGTTGGGAAGGCAAGCATGAAGTGTCAGTCATGAATTCCGCCGACAATACCTTCTATGCGAGTGGAATCCATAGGAAAGCCTCTACCTCCTGTCCCTTCTCCATTTTCGTCCTCGTCTCTGACTCTTGTAGAGAGTCTTAGGGGGGTGGGTTTGGAGGGCCCTGGATTGTTCACTGCAGAAAAAGTGCTTCTAAGACGGGCATCATTTGTCATTGACGCTTGTAGTCACTCATATTAGCAGAGAAGTGGTGCATCTATCTTGTCAGTCTCTTCTCTTTTTCATCTTATCCACCTCATTCTCGTCCCTCATGCTATCTCAACCAAGGGAAGTAAAGATGAGGATCTTGAAGAAATGGGACTACTTCTGGTGAGGAGCTTTAAGGCTCCCTCCGCCTCTAACTCGGTTTCCTCACCTCATATAGCCATCTGCCCTTGCTCCCATTCCCTTTCGCTTCCCTTTTTTTTTAAAAAAGGAAACATATGGTTTATGTTATTGCCATGGAGAAGGCGATATCCCTTCGATCCAGTGAGACTGGCGTGTGGTTACTACTGCTCTTGTCCAAGACGCAGTTGGTATGTGGATGTCACACTAAGACGCGTTGGATGGAGAATGTCTCGACACTAACGGATGCACAAAACAGTGGGAAACCTACGTGGTCGTAATTGAAGCCGAGGGAGAGGTTTATTTATGAAAGCGCCAAGGGCAGTGACAAGTATCGGACCTACCAACCCACCATTCCCTCACTACATACCCGCCGAAGCGGTGGAGCGGAATGCAACCCGAAAGCGCTTGAAACACTCATCCCAAAGAAGATTTCAAGGTTCTGGTAGCAAAGATTACTACCTCTTGACTTTAACATTCAACGTTTCAACGTGTTAAAACCTGATCACATGTCTAGAAGTCTATTTAAGATTAGTTAAGAAAAATTTACAAGATATGTCATATTAAGAAGGAAGACGTTATTTAAGGATTGAGCATTGTCCTGAGTAAATTCACTTTCACTCTTTTACCCTCCTGTGCCACAGGCTTCAAGTACGGTAGACGTTGCGGTATATGCGCCACGGATCAGCATCAAATTGGAGAACTGAGAGGTCCCACTTTACCTCAGCCCGTTTTGAGGCGACCTCGTCGAAACACTGCATCAACCGGGGCAGCCAACAGTTCACACGACCCAGAGTCCATGCGAAGAAGGCTGTGCCTAGAGTGAAAACATCAACGTTGATCCTGAAGCACATAAGATGCTAATTTGTTAATGGGCAAAAGTTGATGAAAACTAAATGAAATCTATCATCGTGGAGAGTCCCACGAGTAAGACGTGAAATGAAACACCAAATTACCATCATCTCCGTTCCAAAATGCCTCAAAGTCTCCAGATTCTGTGGAAGTCTACAAAAAGCAAAATCAAAACACTTGAGGGAACATCAATTATTCATTACCACTTATTTACATGTAAACAACCAAAGAGGAATGACGGTTAAAATGAGTACCTTGTCAAGTGTGGTGCCAATGGCGATAATTACGACGATGTGGTACGAGGCATGACTTACATGACAGAGGGCACAAATAACTTCCGCATGGAACATTGCCTTGAATACATCCATATTGTTTGCGTCCGTTTGAATGCAAATGTAAATTGTCAAATGTCTCCCTTTCCTACCTGGGGGATAAAGAAACCACCTAAAGGTAGCCACGCCAAAAGGTGCGCTGTCAAAGACACAATCATAATGACAATCTACTGATGTATGCATCACCTCAAACAAGAGGACAGACAGCACTCCATGCACATCCTTAAATCAAGAAAATAATTTTTATCTAACAAGTCACATAGATGTTTTCTTACGCAACAATAAAAGTACTTCTGAAGGGGAAAGAGAAATAAATTTATCGAGTCATTAAACTGTTAAAAACAAGAGTTCCGGAAGTTGTGCAATTCCTACCCAACGCCGATTCCCAGCTTCCCCGAAAGCCATGGCTTTGTGTGAGTGGACTCGTAAATTAAGTAGTTTTATTGGTTTCCCAGATGTTCGTGGGCATCAGTGAAGACCTTAACCGACCTCCTACACTCCACTTTGCCATTCCCATCTTATTTGAAATCCACCGACCGAAGATACTCCTCAATCGCATGCATGTGGCTAGTAGCATATAGGTCGAAAGCTTAAGAGATGAGGGGGCGGCGCGGGTGGGAGGGGACGGAGGTTTGAGTTTATTTTCCCCTTCATCCTTTTTCTCCCTCTCTCGCTCTCATTCGTTTCCTCCCTCCCACCTTCCCCATTTCCCGACAGGAGACAAACAAATGAAATTTATGGGCAGAGTGCAATGGCTGAGCAATTGCAAATGGAAAAAGGCTGATTTGACGAACATATTGAAAACAAAGTGCCAATTATCACACGCTACTATTGGTTACCAATCTTGGAAACGTAAGCCTACGATTAATTATTCTTCGTGTTTTCGTCAAACACAACAATGACCAAGCCATTAGGTATGAAGGTAGAAGAGAGACCACCTGGAAAGAAAGTAGAGACACCGTAATTGGACATTTAAAACTGGCTTCCAGTCTCGGAAAACAGGGAGTAACTTAAGTCGGTACGATACTAATAAGCCAGTAAACTTAAAGATGGATTTCTGTGTAGCTATAAGTACTAAAGTAGAATGCATAAAGCGCGGAAAGTGGCTTCCCGAAGAGCTACAAACAGAACAGAGGGATCTACCCTGACTCGCGAAAATTTCATTCCCCTTTCTGCGTGATGGACAGAAATTACTAACCTAAAGTGGATCACCAGATTTATAGGGAAGGCAAGTACTCAATCGAAGGAAAAAGGAGAGATCAAAGCGACCTACTCGCTTTCTTCCATTCGGGACAGTAGAGAACGTAGCGTTCCTCCGCGAACACGCCCAATAATGGAAGAAGTTTACAATCTCTACAAATAATTACGCACAGATGCTACTTAGGCGTTTTGATGAAGCAGCTCCCCATACTACCAAAGTTCTTCAGCGTAAGACACATTTTAGAAAATTTGCACATCTTTCATTTGAAAGTCGACCAATTATCTATGCTAATGCCTTCCTATCAAACTTTTCCCCACTTTGACTTGTTTCAAAATGGTGGGCTACGTAGTGGAAATGCGCATCCTAGGCGCATGGGATTTTACTTCTTCACCACCTAACACAAGTGCCTCACTTGAGGCCACCGTGAATCAAAGTTTAGTCAGATCGGACAACTTAAACCAACTTTCCAACAACTTCACCAAGAGTCGCGTACTTACACCCTCATTCCTCACGGCTAAGGCATTCCGAGAGCTGCTAATTCATATTAGGGAGAGGGTCATCTCCACGTAAGGCCCAGATACTGACGAAGGCTAAGAGGAGCTATTAATGTCATCCCAAGTGGCAACTAGTAAGTCAGATAAAAATGGCCAAAAGACATGCGCACGCACTATCAATTACTACGCCTACGCCTTCTCCCACCTTCATCTATCCCGATGAAGCTATGAGCTCATAAAATTTGCATAAAGTTAGAGACGTACTTCACAACCCAAATGAGTTTCTCAAAAGAGCACCCAAGGTGGATGGTTCTGTTGCGTGAGCCAGCTCCGAACGGCCAGAGAATGGGTTCACGTCGATTTACCTCGTGGACGGAGAGGAGGGGTGGCAGTTGATCTGACAGTTCGTTGTGCTGTCTAAGCCAGTCCTGCATAAGGATGCTGAACCGCCCCCGATTGAGGGTGGTAAATTCCAGACACCGCACCGCTCGCCAATTAGCGTACAAATGGATAGGCGCGAGCAAAATGAAGAGCAGCCATATCAGTCTGAATAGAACCGTGAGGGGAGAGGAGGATTGCAAATAAAAATTGGAGGCAATTTAACAAAGAGATCAAAAAGTGTGCAAGTAATACATCTACCCATAAACCGTGGAGACGGAGACTTCTTTTATCCATAAATGGCGCTTAGCAACAGAGTTGGTGTATATAGTTACCTAGATATTCGTGGTATTGTGAATCGCAGACTCTAATATTACAAATAAGAGCAGATTTAATGAATTTCAAGAGAAACGGAACAAATCTCGCTCTCGATAAAAAACAAATGAAATTAGGAAAGTCCAAATTGCCGACAATTAAGAGAATGTGTGCCAACCGGAGGCAAGATGCAGTAAAGACGGGTAAATTTTGGTTGCATTCAATTTATTGCAACTTGAATGATCGTCAGAATGGGGACATAAACGGGCAGGGGGGAAAAAAACGCACCACATCCCAAAATAGCCCCTTTTTGAGATTGTTTTAAGAAGAGATTTCAATGAAAAGCAGAATGAATGCCTTTGTAGGTGGTAACTGAGGCAAAAAACGACCAATACAAATGATAAATTGCGGAACGAAAGAAGTCGATCCCTAAATTGCACTGAACCTAATGGAAAGTACATTCCCATTCAAAACATGACATAGGCAAGAAGCATTCAAAACTCTTCTGCAAGCATTCCTTCCGATTGGGACTGTAGCTGAAAGAAAGACTAGTTTTAGTGCAACTATCAGGTACTTGCAAAGTGTATGTGATTTTTTATAAAAATGGATAAAGATGCATCAGTCTGTCGGGTACGGTACACTTTCATGTTACTCTCTCTCACACAACACAAAGAATGGCATTCCACTCAGCCTGTCTTACTAACACACGAGAACTCGGTTTCGTAGCTGAAGCAGAAGCTGGCTGACTAGAGAGCTACCTTCTCGTCAAATGACATGCAGAGAAGGTGTAGCACACAATATCCGATACGGAGCATACAGTGAACAGAGGTGAAAGCAGAACAACGCACCACCCGCGCCCAACCAAATGGGTCAGGTGGAGAAAGATCTTGAATTTTCGATTAAAAGAAGAGAATGGAAGATAGAGGAAAAATGACACAACATGAGCTTAGTAAATAGAGGTGAAAGTGATAAAAAGAGTAATGAGTCAATTGGTATCCACTTCCATCATAAAAAGATTCAAAGCTGTGAAAGCTTGTGGGTAAATAGGTTGTACGAGTCAACACATTACAAGATGACAAACAACTTGGAAGGGTACCTACTTGTTCTTTCCTTCTTTCACAGTATAAAAGCGCACCATAGACTTTAGATTACTTTCCAAATGACTTATGTTAAAAGGCGGCGCTAAGTGCTCAAACTATCACACCCTTCAAAGACACCACCTCATCTCCAAAAGGTCATGGTTGATTTTTCTACTTCTAGAGGTAAGTGGCAGCAAACTTCAGCCTCTTGGAGAAAGAAGAGTCTATAATAGTTGTAGTGATTTAGAAGAATAAAACGTTTTGAGAAGTTTTCTCATCTAACTGAATTTTTATTATAACCAACAGCACGAACTTATTTGACCACCTCATACGCGTAGAGCACATAGCGAGGTAAGTTGTAAACACATAACCGGAGAAAAATGATACACTCCAAGAATATCTACCCACAAAAAAGATGAACCTTAAGCTTGTTTCTCCGTAGTACATCATGCATACAAGCCTGGTGGCCAAATTCAGTGAAAACAAAGAGGAGGTTGCCGCATGACACACCCATGTGATGCCACCACTAATCATTCCTACATTCCCACAATTTTTAAAGGTGTGAAAAACATTTCTAACAATTTGGTAGAGTGAACGTTTCGATTACACCTCACACAAATTCCAGTATGAAATACTGAAAAATGTTAAGTTATTTAATGGAAAGATGAACTTACATTAGATTACCCGTAACCAACGCGATGAGGATTAGATTCACCACCAATGCTAGGAGGTTGGACAGTGTTTCCTGAAATGGGGAGGATGTAATTCTAGTTGTACTTAATTTACACAAGTAGAAAAAGACATCAAGACAATGTGAAACCAAACTTGAGTAACCAGGCTCACTGTCCAGTCAGTGAAGCAAACCAGTTTTACTAGTGCGAATAAGAAATGCAAGAAAAAGCAGGTACTCTGCATCAGGGAGTAATTTCCATTCTGATGAACTTAAAAGTAAAAGGTAGGTAAAGACCAATGAATGAGTTGAAGATCAAAACACTTCGAGATTGACCTGACTTCCATCTTTTGCGGCAACATCAGCCATATTTCCTTCCAGCGCTTGGTGCTGCGTAATGGCCGCGCGTGTAGCACTGCCAACCATGCCCACTAGAGCCTTCAGAAAGAAAAATGAAGCAATTTCATGCATTTGAGGCCTTACAAAACATCGGACATGTGGAGTTGCAAAAGGCGTGGTAATTAAGGGACCAGCGACCGAGCGAACTTGTAGCGGCACAAAGCACTAAATGATAAGAAATACGACCCAACCATTTAGCATCACCTTTTGCGCATTCATTCCTGAAAGTGACCATGATACACGAAATCGTCGACGTGACACACAAACAATAAAACTGGCGGGATTATATGGTTAGATATTATGGGCATCAGTTGGAGGCCTAAGCTGACTAGCAAAAGAGCAACTTCTTGTATTTCATATAATAAATGCGTAGAAACAATCCTCACAAAACACACATTTGACCAAAAATGACGGTGAAATTGAATACAGATGTTTGTGAGTCTGATTCATCGGTATTGAGATGTACTAAGTGAATGGCTAAGTGTTGCCTCAACAAAGTCTGCATTAAGCAAACAATCACATGGAAGTGAAAATTGTGTTCGATAAAATGAACAACTTTATTATTTAAGGGACGAGACATGCCCGTTTAAATGGACATTAGAGATTATTTTAGCTCAACCGGAGAAAAGACTGACGATTTCTCATTCATTATTTCAACGTAAGCACAAAACAAAAGAGATAGCACATTCAAAGTAAAGCTTCTAATCAGAAGTGCTTCGTGGAAGGTGGAGAGGGAAACAGATTTTCAATAAGCGTATCATTAAGATCAAAGTAACTATGGGTCACCAGTAAAGTTGATTGACATTAATCCAGTAAAGGCTAAAAATGCTGAATATACAGCCGTATACTCTACCCTACTTCATGCGGCAGAATGCATTAATAAATCAGTCACAGTTCCAATCGTATCCTCTGAATTTCAATCAATTCACTAAGTGATTTAATCCCTCACACAAAGAAGCGACATACCCGCATTACACTGGAGATGCACACAATGACAGTGAAGAATGAAACAGTATGCAGCGAGAGGAGTTCCAAGAAAAATGCCATATCGTTCAACACGTCAGCAAACATTCTACCAAACAATGTAAGCAGAGAAATATTTCTACCTCCACTGTTTGCACCGGCTATCGAGGCTAGTGCTAAAAGCAACTTTATAAGACGCTAACACGTTGTGTAAGCATACCCTTGCCAACCTGCAAAAGCAATACGACCAACCATTCCGGCTCCATCTAAAATAAAAGACACCACTCATGCCTGTTTGCACCATACAAATTATCCCCAAAGATAAATAGGCTTCGGAATAAGCAATCGTGCTGCAGGATACGCATATAACGGATTTTTAAATAGACTACAACGAGGCCACACTCTCGCTTCTTTAAGTAGTTTATGAAAATGGAGCGTTACATGATGCCAAAGTCAGATAAAATGTGTCAAATGTAAAAAGAGGGGAAATGAAACCCAGACGTACGACGTACCCTTAAATATCCACGTAAGAGATGCGGCAAGAATGCTGGCACTGCTATCGCCAACACCAACACCGATTAAAATAGCCTGTCCAGCTAAAGCACTTATTATACTGCTAGCAATTGCCTAAAATTCAGCACGAGATTTGGTAAGATGCAAGGAAACATGGTACTGTCGGGACAGAACTGAAAAATGAAAGAAGCAAGAGCTCACCTGTACCGTGTCCCATACCTGGTATTCTAGATAATCTTTGCTAACCGAATTCGGATAGCCTTCCGGAAAGAAAGCCGACTTGGCAAATAAGAAGAACGAACTCATCCTTGGATATGATATAAAACGGTAGCCCGACTTCTCATCAGAAAATTCATATTTCGAAAAAAGCTGCCCCATGAAGTTATCATAAACTGTCACCTCACTAACGGATGCTTCGCATTTCGACAATACCATTTCCGGATGCCCCGACACACCAACTTTGATTTGGTTTGTGCTAAAATAGGATTGTTAATGGTGCATAAAAACAAATAAAGTTGTTGTCCTTATGCACAATTTTTTTACTTACTATCTGAAAACTGCAGTTTTTATCATTTATTAATTCATTTTAGCTTTTGTCAGAAAGCTACGGTGAAAAAACTTTTCCGGGAGCCTATTGATTTAAATGATTTCTACACAAGGGTGTATATCAGAATAACCACACAGAATAACACGCCGGGAGATTACGCGTATCCAGGTACCTAACAAGGCCACAACTCCTGGGAACCAAAGCAAACCGAAGTTAGCTCCTGAAGCATCCCAGGTCCGCACTAAATCAGCCATCTAATAGAGATGAAACCTAACTCCGAGTTGACAGTACAATAAACGTGTTCCTGACTGAGCATTCAAAAGCACCACAGAAAAGTAGTAGGGGGCCGGCAATCGCCAAGACGACATGAAGTGCCACTGAATGCGCTACTCGATTGGAGTACACCATACAATCGACTGTGCAATTTGCAACAAAGCAGCAGAGGCACCGCCACTCCTTCCAGTGAATCAACGTTCCCTCGCCTTCTGCAGCATGCCAGCTTACATGCTGCATTCACTCTGCCAGCATATCAATAGTCGGGGTCTCGGCAAGTAGACCTAGGTATGCTGGAGCAATTAAGTAAATGACGTCAACAGTGACAGCGCTATAAAGCGACCCAAGGGTTCATCAGATGATAACCAAAAGTGCAGGGGACCACGACGACTCAAAATCAAAACGTAGAGAAAAGACGTGCCATGTTGCCCAATCCAAGCGCTGCAACTGCTAACGATTAACAGGCGAGTCACATCTTAAAAAAGATGTTAAAAAAAGACCGCTTCAAAGTCACATGCGTACAAAAAATTACCATACGAATTCAAGTTTCGGCGCATGATATCGAGACTTTTCTTTGATTATCCGAAATTACAAAGTGGCGCTTCTTTTTCAATGCCCTTTGAAATTCGTGCTCCAAAAAATCATCAGAATGATTCTTTCCGTTAAAGTGTTCCGACTTCTTGAATGTATCAAATGTCTGTAGCAGAAACAACAGAAATAGCAATTATCTGGACGATGCGATGCTTAAGTAGAAAAGAAGTTACAACGGAACCCACCATCCGTCGCAGCTTTTTAATCCTCATTTTGTTTTGGTTCTGCTTGAGATGCAGTAGCATGATTTTCCCGAATCGCTTATAGAGTTTCCCAACTGAAAAAACAAATAAACTATTAGATCTTACATTTTTCATATGCGACATCATCGCCGGACCTTTGGGTGGCTAAGTTTGACGACTGAGGCCTTCGGAAATTTGTATCCTCTTGAGGTAGTCCCTCACTTGATTTCGTGAGATCTGATCCAGCAGATGGTTTTGTCTCACTGTCACTCAAATTTTTAGACTCGGCACTTTTGCTATCAATGTCCTGGCTCGAAATTTGCTGCCACAGAGCGTCAATATCATCCGAACGTGCAAACTTGAATGAACTTCTTAAGAAATTCTACACTGTCAAGATTAAACACACGAAACTTCGAATTTGTTCCTTTTCCTAGGGACGTTTTTGCTATCCAGAATCATCTTCTTCATCAACGTGGGAACACCGGGCATGGTTTGGAAATTGAACAGCCGCGAATGGACGGATGACGTCCAGTCCATCTGCTTTAGAGCACCTTTAGGCGCAGACTCCTGAAAATTGGGTTTATCATATTTTTCTTGTTCTGAAATACAAGACGTATGAGAAGAAAAATTTTGCAACCTATCAAGTGGATGTAAAAAGTCATCCTTACGTAAAGCTTTTTGAACAGTCCACACACGAAACAGCAGGACAGTGGCACGTGTGAAAATGCCGCTCAACATTCTTCTTTTTAAGGCTTTCGTTACACTTACTACAAACGAAAACAACCATGCCTTGAGTAGCAAATAAGGGAAGTTCAAGGTCGCGCCGTTAAGCCAATCATAAGTACGGCCTTTAATGCATTGAATTTGCGGTTATTTGTTGAGTTTAACAAAATATTGTAAAAAATTTTTGCAATTGCTGGCTGATATTCTTATAAATGCAATTCTAACGAATGGCTAACGTTTTTTAGCTAGTGCTATGTCCGTCCACGTTGTTGGTATACAAGGAATTTTACCATAAATTTGCTCGGTTGCGTTTCAGTTATGGCAGCAGACTACTTAGCAGCTACCTCATTGCACCCTTGTGAAGAGGCTTGACACCCAAGCCAAGCATATAGCAACCGGCCATTCTGCGCAACGATAGTTACCGTTTTTATGGCAGTCTGGTAAAGCTGCAGTTTTAGCAGCAATAGCAAAACCACTTTTAAAGAAAAAGCAATGCACATTTTGTAGCTGTCTAATAAGGCACAGTGTAAGGAAAGAAGTAAAAAAGTCGCAGCTAGAAGCATAAGTAATGATTCTTACGAGAAAGATTTATGTTACCGACTAAGTTTGACAACCAATTTGGTTTTGTTTTCTGCAGGATTAGATTTTACAACCAAAACAGCACAGGCAATAAAAAATTCAGTAGCCAAGTATCTGACGTAGCTGTAGATTTTCAACTATTATGTAAACTCGCGACATCGCCACCACATCGCTTCTAGACAGGTTAAATTTAAGTGGATGCGTCTGGAGAGCTTTCCGGTGAGAACACAGCAGCACCAAAAAAGACCTTAAATTCAGCCCTAAAATTATGTTAAATCTTCTCTGTGTTATTGGATTCTAATAATACCTGTAATTCATTTAACTAAAGAAGGTCAAGTGTAATGCCCAGCACATTTCCTTATTTCTCTCCAAGGTAACTTGAGTCCAGAGCAAATTTTTGGAATATGTAAAAACACCAATGTGCAGCAGTAATTTCAGTGACGTCTTTTTAGTTGCATAATATTTTATGCCAGGCACATGTAGCTTGTAGATTTTTTTCATAAAGCATTGATCAAGTAAATTTTTTTATCTCTTAAAGGCTGCCGTGGAAGCTAGTTAAAAGCAACGCACAATCAACAGCCTAATAAGACAACTGTTTACTTAGAACTCAGTTTTTAACGATTTATTCACTGGTCTGCCATTATAAATCATCCGAATGAACAGTCCTGCTGGCCACGCTAGTAATCTTTAGCTCTTTTTCGCGTTCAACAGAGCATGGTAATTTAGGGTATATTGACTTTTTTTCTTTAGGGAAGTTTTGGGGGGGCTACAGTAAAACCTAGTTAGTTGTGTCAATCTCACAAAGACAAGTCAAACGTCCTTAATGAATCTGCCTGAGTCTCCTATTGATGGTTTTAAGATTTGTAGTAGAAGAAAATTTTAAAGGCATATTATGAAGTCTTTTTGCTTGGTTATTGGTATAGATGGTAAACTCCAGTTGAAAGTTCAAAATAAACACCCTCTATGAGACAACTTCTCTTTGTAGACAAGGTTTAAACGCTAAAGATCAAATTATACGTGCAAATTATGCATGTTTATTAAGGTTTTATAATAAAGTATCAACTTGATTTTGTTTATTCCCTTCGAAGGTCCTAGCGCATCATTTCGCTTGTTATCGCAAATGGGAAAGAGGTTCAATACACGCTGTTTCTTGGATATCAAGATTGGTGATGCTGAACGTATGTGTTATCGTTTTCCAACTCCATCCTTTAGCTGAGCGTGTTGTCCTCGAGCTATTCGATGAAAAGTGCCCGAAGGCTTGTGACAATTTTAAAAAGCTTTGTCAAGGTATTTTTTCGTTGATTTTGTGCATGATTTTAGGTATTTGTGGGATCGGCATAAAGACAGGAAAACCACTACATTATCAAGGGTCGACATTTCATAGAATCATTAAGGGTTTTATCATTCAAGGAGGGGATTTTAGTAATGGTGATGGTACTGGTGGCGAGTCTATATATGGTGGCACTTTCGCTGGTGAGCCATAATTTTTATACTATTGCTTCAGATGAGGACATGTCGTTGCCTCATGATAGACCATTTTTGTTGTCGATGGCCAATCGAGGTCCTAACACGAATGGATCGCAGTTTTTTATGTATGTTTGCGCAACTTCCTCATATTTTTAGAACAACCGCTCCTGCTCCTCACCTAAACGGTAAACATATGGTATTTGGTCATGTGCTGTCCGGTCGAGAGGTGGTCGCTAAAATTGAAGCTGTACCTGTGTCCGATACTCGAATATACAAACCTATAAAGCCTGTTGTGATTGCTAATTGCGGTGAACTTGTTCCGAGTATGTTCTTGTTTATCAAATAATTTCTTTAAGTCAAGAAGAAAAAGTCAGATGATCAAAAAAAGGAAAGCAAGAAGAAAAAGAAGAAGGCGAAAAAATCGAAGAAGAAGAAGTCTCGAAGAAGGCGGAGCTCTTCGTAGGAATTCTCATCATTCCAATATTTTTTTTTTCGCTAGATTTGGATCCGATTCAGATTCTGTGAAAATTAGGCCAGAAGAAATACCTGACATACCTAAGAACAAATTCTTATATCGACCGAGCCCAACAAACTCGAATAAAGCTTCGTAAGATCCTTTTTAAAATTATATTAGACGAAAAACTGTGAAATGCCAGTCTTTTACTTTATTCAAGCTTATGCTTTTTATGCTAGATATGTAGAAAACCAGAATTACTCATTAAAGTTTAAGTCGGGACGAAAAGTCAAGGGTCGAGGCCAAGTGGTGAGTCTTTCCTTTTAAGTTTAACTGCACTGGAGGATGGGGGGCTGAACTGTAAATACTTTATCTCATTTTAACGCACATTCTTTGCAGCGCTATAGGACGCCAGATTCACGCTCTGGTAGTCGTGATCGTGGACTAACTCCTGAGCATTGGCATCAAGCGGCTCGTAGATCTCGGCGACGATCTCCTGAAGACGAATCTCGATCACGAACTAAACAATTTCGAGAGCAGATAGGTAGTAGTCGGTGAGTAGCGATATGCATCTAGTTGCACTTCTGCTTGTGTTCTTTGTTTATCTAACTCTAACCCAATATGATTAATACTGTTGCAGCCTTTTGGTATCTTTCGGATGTTAATGTGAGTCAATAGATTCTTAGTAATCGTTTAATTTTTTTCTAATGTTTTATGCCCTTTGTTGTAACATTTCTAGACTCCTATTGTGGCAATGCTTTTACTATAAGTTTAATTATTGTCCATTTATTTGTAAGAAATGTGTAAAACAATCACTCCACCATGGCATTGATTCAAGATTTAGCTTTGGTGAAAGTTATTGAGTCTGCAAAGCTTTTTCACCTACTTTTTTCTACTGCCTAATTTGCTTCTCACAAATTAGCAATGTTTTCTCAAAGTCGTGATTTTTTCGGATTTCAGAGAAGAAAATGTCATGAGGGATGTTAGAACTAGATCGCCATTGAATACAACGGGACGAGGGCCGGATAAAAATCACAGTGATTGTCCTTCGGTTATGAATAGACAAAGTCCTTATCATGAAGGGAATGCAAAGGCCATGTCACCTGTTAACACGGGTAGTGGAAGAGGAGACAGAAGCCGAGATAAAGCTCAAAAGTATGTTTAACCAGTAAATCTTGAGTCTTTGTTTTACTAGCTTCTCTTTCCTATAAGGTGACTGGCAGAGAGATTCTTTGGCGTATCTTAGATCTCAAAAATTTATCTTTTTTGTAGCGTTTTCATGGTAAGATGCTTAATGTGCCGTTCTATGTCGAAAGCTAAAATAATTTCTAACCTTGAAATGTCGATCTGAATGTTCTTAGGAAGTCATTCGTATACATTTGTATGTCCATATCTATCGGACAAATAGATTTTAATGGGCTTTGTCTACGAGAAAGTTTTACTTTTAGGAGATACTCTCGGTAAGTATAATTTATTGATGCGATTATTTGTGGCGATTGAGGAACCTATTTTTCAGCGTCGATGGCTATATCTTGCGCGATGATAGACGCATTCTTCATTCCTTTGATCGTCATTTTTACATTTTTTCGACGTTCCCTTCAGGCGAGTTGCTGCGGAAATTTCCGATGAACGTTGGGTAAAAGAGCCTGAGGCCACTCCGCCACCCGTTCGACGACAGCGAGTGGATGATCCATCGCCGGAAGAGGAAGATCTGCGGCACGGATATCATCAGCGGCGAACACCAAGTCCGCCACCGCCGCCACCAACATCACATAGTGCTCTCTCACGCGGTCAGAATAGATCTCGTGTAGAGGGGGGCGGAAGGAATGCAAGCAACTCCAGACGTTCATCTAAATCCGGACGCTCCCCATCTCCCTCGTCGCATCGTGTATGGGAGTGGAATTGTGACCACGAATATTGAAACCGGCTGCAGATACCTAAATTTAAAACAATTTTTCTGATTTTCATCATCTTTCCCCCAATATAGGTATCTGATCGAAAGCACAAAGTATCGCGTTCACCTTCGCGGTCCCGATCGCCCTCATTCACCCGATCTCGAAAAAGATCAAATGAACGTGAAACCCGTCGCGACTCACCTCCGATATCATCAAAGTTGGCTTCAACAAGAAGGAGGGAGACCAGTCAAAACCGTTTGGGGAGTGTGGAAAGACGGAAGCTCTCGCCAACTCGTGGGGACTACCACGGCTCTCCTCACAGTCCTCCCGCTCATCTGATCAACAAGTAACTTACGCGGAAGTGGATTATATTTTCTTCGATGATTATTCTCCTTAATTTCCTCCTAGATGGGAAGAACGTCGAAAACAGGTCCTTCGAAAACGGGATAGTCTGTTGAAAGTGTCTAGACGGCGTGATATTTCTCCTGGAAGTCCTCCAACCTCACCACGCCTTAGACACTCATCGTCCTCTTCACGTTCCAGATCTTCGCCTCGCCATTTGAACCCTGTCGTGTCGACACATCATTCGTCTCCGAGGTCTTCAAAGAAACGTACTCACTCTCCATCAAGTAGGTCACCGTCGCCAATCAAGAGCAAAGCCGATCCCATCGTCGCTTCAAAGGAAACATCTGACTCGACTCTCTATGATGCGTAAGTTTGGCGAAAATTATTTCATTTTTCCTTGGTTTTTTGCATTGACTAATCCCCACGTTTGGAGAGTAGTGAATCTCTAAGGTTTTTTTTTTTTTTCAATTAAGTCTTATTGCAAGAAATTGGTACAATTAATCCTCATGAAAACGCTTAACTAATCTAGACGTCACCCTTTTGATTTCAGCGCTCTACCCACTGGCTCAACGTCACCCCTAAATGTGAGTTCTCATTGATTGAGTGCCTGTGCATTTTCATTCGGAGTTTTTACTTTTTTGCGAATCATTCTCAGTTAAGTTGCTGCAGTGAGTTTTCGTGCCAGATTTGCGGGCGGAACTAAAGTTAGAAGTTATTGGTATTACATCTCTCCAAACTTATAGATCCCGTTACCACCCGAACCCAGTTCGGTTGCAGCAATTAGTAGTGAACGGGATCACCCACCATCGAGTAACGCAGTGGCAAACAAGGAGGAGTCACAAAAGAGGGGAGAAGGTGAAGAGAAAAAGGATAACGTTAGTACTACAGCTTCACCAACGACCATTGGACCGTGGACAACCAGTCGATGGCAGGCGGATGATGAATTGGAGAAGGATGCTACAGCCCCAGGGTTGAATACATCAGCTAAAATTAGTCCAGTAAAACTTGCAATCGGGGGTAGTTTAGAGACGGCGCCGGCTGACCCCACCTCGGTTGATATGGATGTGAGCGACATTGAATTGGAGCCAAAGAACCCAAAAAAGTTGCCAATAAATGATTTAAAAGATGGGAATAAGGCACCGATATCTGAAGCACCCATGGAGAGTAAACCAACAGCTCCAGCAGTCAAGGTAAGTTATCGCCAAATATAGAAAATCACATTTTTTTGTTGCTCATCGATTCGGTCTCATTAACACAGAGTTCCAAATCCGCCCCAAAGCCGAAGTCACGATCGATTTCCTCATCCGCCTCTTCAGCATCAAGTAGTTCATCTGGCAGCTCCTCCTCGGACGCTTCTAGCTTTCGCTCCAGGAGCAGATCCAGGTCATTTCGTAGAAGAAGATCTGGACGACGTCGCGGACGAAGTAGAAGCACGGGTCGGTCACGCCCTCACCGTCGTAGCAGCTTGAGTCGCCGACATGGTGACTTCCGTTCTCGCTCCAGCAGCCGTCGTCATCACTGTCGTCGTGGCTCCCGCAGTCGTAAAAGCTCATGGAGTCGAAGGTCGAGATCCTATTCGGATCGATCACGTCGTCGGCGACACAGCTCTTCGTATTCACGTCGACGTCGGCGTTCGTACTCCTCGTATTCCGGTTCATCGCGCAGTTCATACTCATCTCTATCTCGTCGTTGAAGAGCAGTGGCCACATCATCGTGAGCTTGCGTATGGCCGATCGTGTGGATAAATCTGTTAGCTTCGTTTTTAGTGAAAAAAAGAAACAAGTTTGTGTCTGCTAAACTTTTTACTGGGTTGATAGTTTGTACGCTTTATCTTTCACCTCATTTGCATTAACTGCGAAATAGTTGCAGGCGGCCTTGGACAGGCAAAAGGGGCTACACTTGCGCTATGCTAATGTCAAACGGCATAGCAATGGAGTGGATATCAAGCCTGAGTAAGCAATGGGCGTCAGATACGAGGACGTTGGTTGGTGCACTTTTTCTTTTTGTGGTGAGCTACGTGAGACGAAAGCACTGACGTGTGAAGCGACAACCAAATGGTTTGCGCACCTTCATGTCAAAACGCGTTACGACACTGACAAGTGTGGTGTGTGCTACCTGTTCAAGTATTAAGTTGTCACGAAGCCTTTCTCCTATGCATGGTAAATGTGGTATTTAGAGATTCACCACCTACTGCCTCAAGGTGGCCTCCGAAATGTCTCCTTTCGCGTTTGGAGTGATTCCTCCGATTGGCAATTTGCTCCGCATTCTATGTCTACAGTGGAGGAGTGCCTCTGCCTCCTTCAATGGAGGGTACGCCGGCAGGAATTCTCCCCTTCAGCATTCGAGGGGTCAAATGAAATACCAAATGGGGAGTAGCTTTGACGGGCAGCGGTGTGACCTCGGAGTTCACGTATTGCTTTACAAGTGAAAATATTAATTGACATCACTGATCGCATCACGACTCACCTGTGAAAATTCCAGCACAATCCACTTGCAACTATGGTACAGGGGGTTTGGGGGTGGGTGATTACGTAAGGACTAAATCCGGTAGTAAAATGCACTTTTAAATCAACTGAGTGTGTAATAAGCTGATTTGATGAGATAGCGAAGGTGCCTCCACTCAAATGGCCTGACGTAACCCGACCTGACCCAGTGGATTAAGCAGCAGCTATGCGAAGCACAACATTGATACATTGAGTGTGGTAGGCAATTCAAATTATCACAAGAAAGAAATAGAGGGGCGGGGGAGGGGAGGGAAGGGTGAGTGAGACATAAAAAGGGGAATGTTCCATAGATCAAAGTCACAGTAGAGCGCTGAAAATTAATGATCTCGCGGATGGAGGAGGTTGACACAACACTGGCAAATGCATGGTTGGAATGATCAGGTAGTTGGTATGTAGGGAATGCTTCTGTGAAGTACATCCATCCTCACTTTGGCTGCAAGGTGGGTAACCTAGGCCGTTCGGGCAGAGGTGGAGGTAGTCGTTCTGGCATCAGCGGCGGTGAGAGTGCCAAAAAACACGCCTTCTCTTTCACCTCATCACGATCGGATGTCGTGGGCTCCATTGTGCTCTACAGAAGAATTGAAATGAACATTTAAGAGAAAAGAGTGAGCAAGGAGGGAGTAATCGCCAACCTCCTCGAAATAAGAGTATTTTGACGATTTAAGACATTTGTAACTCTCCTAATACCCGACTAGAAAGACTCTCAATTCATCCGTAGAATTGGATCATCCGGGAGTCTCGAGACCGGATAAAGTTTAGATACTTTCGATGTTCCGTAGTGGAAATTGAACTTTCCATGCATCATCAGTGCCTCCACACTTGCTGAATGTGGAACTGAAACTCCACAATGCTGTTCGTCAATAGACCCATGTCTTTGGTCCGACAGATTCTGCAGCGGTTACTGGAGAAGCATGCTCCAGTTCTGTCAGATTCGTGATCTGAATTCTGCGTGCAAATAAGGGTACATGTTCTCTTGGAGCCTTTCGAGCTCCCAAGGCTTCAGCACAGAGATCCTGACGAGTGGCTAGCAGAGACGGATTGTGTTTAAATCGGATCAACTTTGGCTCTCGGGTACTTACCAGCCCATTTGAAGTACATTTCTGTCCTGTCCGACTCAATCATGAGGGAGTGAGCAAGAATACGACGTTATAGAATGTTTGGCAACTTCAAGAAATTTGAACAAGAACGCCGTTTGAGGTTGCTGTCATGCCTAGCCCATCTAAACACTGTAGTCAGAATTTATCAGTAATTTTTGCTTTTAAAATAACTGAACAACACTTTTTTTGAGTACAAAAAGGACATTGAGTAAAAATTGCGAAGCAGGAAGACTTACCGTTTTAGTGGGAAATGTGGGTTGGCTAAAAAATAAAAAATAAACGATACGTAACCTTCTTTCTCCAGAATGTAAGACTGGTTTTCGAGAGAGGCACACTACAACCCCGAGTATTGTCTACCTCGACAGAAAATGTCAAATTTCAAAGTGACACGGCTACAACCAAACCGTGTCAGAGTCAAGGACCTAGGAGCTTTTGCATCCAATTCAACATCACAAAAGTTTCCTCGTCTAAGGAGTAAGGGGATTAAATCCCATCCAAAGCTCACTCGGACAAATCGACGAGATGTTGTGGCAAGGCATTAAGAGACGAAGGATGTAGTTGAGGTGGCGGCCGAGGCGGAAGACGTTTCGGTGGTGGAGGCGGCGGTAGCTGGGATGTGTGCTGTGGTGATACACTTGCCGACATGGGACTCACAAATCCCATAGTTGGAGGCAGCGGTTGCAGAGTTGATGTAGGGAATTGACCACTTGTTGTAGCGTACTCACTGTCGTCCAGTTCACTGAGAAGGTCAATGCAACTATGCACCGGGTGAAGAAGCGGTTTTGGAGGCAGTAGCTCTTTTAACATTGACAGATCTGGCAGGTGCACCGCGGGAGCAGGAGGAGGCGGTCGTGGGGGTACTAATTCATGAGAAAACGATGAGTAAAACGGTCATTCATGTGTCGCATACGGACTCAGAGAGGGCATTAAGTTTCTTTTATAAAGCTTGAAATTTAAGCAGAAGATCTAAAAAAGAGATCTGCATCAAAGACTATCCAGATCACTTGAACAAGTCCAGCCTGTACACTAGACGTTTGAGAAATGGCAAAAAAGGAATTATTTAGTTTAAATCAGCTGAGAAAGACAGAGGAAGAACAGCGTACCAGGAGGTGAAACGGCGGAATGAAAGACATCACATTTTTCCTTCTGTTCCGTCAATCTCACCATTATCGATGACATGGCAGCAGATGCCTCCTCATCCTCATCATCCCAGAGGTTAATGAGGGCCTGATCCTCATTGGAAAGGATGCTAACAATTCGCTGACGACGCACCTCATCTGCAGCGACATTCTCCTTGCGACGTAAATGAGCCAGACTGACGGTGGGCTGGAATACCGCATGCTCAGGACTAGGCCCATGGGTGCGCAGGTATTCCTCGTCTGCCTCGTCCACCAGCTGCCGCATCTCCTCCAGCCACTCGCGGGTTGGATCGTCCAGAACTCGCGATCCACTCAAGACGCCCTCAAGGCTGTGTGATATTCCGTTACTATCCTTCATTAGGAGGCGCGGTGTCGAGTTGAGACAAACTGAGAGGACGATCTTTTGACGTGATGTCTCCACTGACACCTTGTTGCCATTCAGACATCGGACTGCCTCTACAGCCTCACTTTTGTGGTGAGAAATGGAATTTGAAAGACGAGCTAGAATTCCTTTTTTTCAAATAAGAACATCCCATTAAATAAGACTGCGTATAGAAGATTAAACCTTATTCATCCAACTATTTGGGTGCACGGCTGGAAGCGATTTAGCACGTGATGGGAAAAAAAGAAAGTTGGTTCATATGCAAGAACACCCATCTGGGACTCATTGAGAATCGGAGTGTGACTTACGGAGGCGAGGAGAAAGTGAGAAGGAGTTGGTTATTACATTGAGGACGCGTGAGAATTATGGTGCCCGCAGAGCCGGCCAACTCCACAATGGCTTGATGAATGGCGTCGGCTGTGACTGTAGTGTCTCCGCATATCCAATTGATACGAACCGTAGCATCACCGGGTCCTGCGGCGAGAAGCTCCTCTTCAATAACTTGACGACGTTTTGTTGGTTCCACCTGTGGAAAACATGAGGGTGATGGCACTTGAAGTCAGCTGCGTTTGAACATGAAAAATGGAGAATGGGCCAGGTAGGTGGGGGCTATGCCGTTAAAAGTCTCCTGCCATCTTCCCTTAACCGATAGCTGTGAGAGTTTTCAAATTTCGCTGTCAGGTAGAAACAAGCGATTTATCGCCTATCAGAAACATCTCATCTATGGCAAAAAGCAGTTATCAAGTGCCTCTTTACTTTTTTCACACAAGAATGAAAATGAATGTTTTAGCAGAATCGCTTCTTCCTATTTGCTACGCATCCCACCAGCCCTAGACGAGCCGGAAGTTCCCAATGAACGAATATCCCCAAGGCGTCATTGGAAAGGCCATCCACAAATAACTCCACAGTCCTGATGCCTCGTAGATGCCACTTTTAGGAATAAATCACTTCACCTAAGGCGTAGCCAACATCAAGAATTGGTTGAAAATATAACGTGGGAAAAAAGATGTACAGTGATTTAATACGCGGGCGTCCCATCTGTCTTGGGAGTTTAAAATTCTGCATGTCTTTCAGGCCTTCTCTCGCACAGATAAAACTTATTGCAACTTCAAAGAAGATCCGAGGTGCCACGATGGTACCAGATGGAGGGGGTTGAAACGGTACCTACTTTTGGCAATTCTCCAATTTCGTCTCCAGGCGTTGTCAGATCAAATTTCAACGAATCACAATTGCCACCCAAAGAAAGATTTATCACGTCTCTAATCCAAACCACTCCTCTCCTCGTAGTACATCGTTCAGTAGTTAGAACCATCCATCCAGAAACCACGGACAGGGCTAAATTATATATATATATCACCACAGATAAGTGACATCCTCCTCACGATGCAAACTCATTAAGCATATATTTCATCCAGTCGTCGGGTTATTTGGAGTTCACCGGAGGACTTATTTCGGTCGAAGCAGAAGAGTGACCACGAGAAGCAGCACCGCTACCAACATCAGCATCACATTCAGGCCAATGCGAACATGCGAAACACATGTAAAAGAAGCAAGTGCGCAATTTTTGAAGTAATGAAGAAATTAACTAACTCAATTGTTCTCTGAGCAATAAAGAGTTAGAGTGAATTAATAATCTCAAAAAAGCAGAATACCAAAGAAACTGTGGTTCCTCCGGAAACGGAACTTTTGAGAGCTCTGATGGATGGATAAGTAAATTTAACGATGATGACAAGTAGATAGCTGGACAGATAAGCGCTGCTTCAATTAATCAGACGAGCCAAGACGTACGACTTGAATGTCGATATCGAAGACGGCAGCAACAGGTCGATGATCGCTAGTCTTAATCTCCGCCCTGTAGTAGACTAGCAAATTTTTGAGAAGCATCTGCTCATCTGATTCGTTATTGCAAGAGGACTTCTTGAAGGCAATGTTAGCCCGCCGCCAGAGCACGCGATCCGTCCAAGAGGGAGAGCGTGCTTTCTCGGAGGTGTCGTAGTCATCACAAAAGAGGTCGTACTTATATGTGGGCGCGAAGCACAACGGACCTTCATTAAAGCCCTTAAACACTGCATCCGCCTTGCGCTGCACCAAGAGCTGGTCGCTGTATTGAAGCTCCGACCATGCAGCGCGGGTGACCAATGACTTCACCTCCTCATTGGGCCGATTAATGCGGTAGTTAAGGTCACCGAACCAGAAGACGTAGTCATGCGAGAGGACGCTACGCTTGTCCGGCGCCAAAGTGAGGCGCTGAGAGATGTCAAGAACCTCGGCATTGCGCTCGCGGTAAGCTGATTGGCCAGCGGTGAGGTGGGAACAGCAGAAACACAACGAGGTTGCACCGATCTAAAAGGAAGAAAAAACCATATCTCGAAAACTCAGGGTAGAGCTTTCACAAAGATCGTAAAGTTAATTCAAAAAAACAAGTCATGCAATGAGAAAAGAAAAAAAGAAAAAAGATATAAATCGTAATGATTGACATATTGGTCCCTAAAGTACGTGAGGGATAAATTATCACATAAAGATAATGATAAGCAGGTTTTTACTAGCACTGAAATTAAACCTGCAAAATCAAAGGTTTGTAAGTGAGTGAGCTTATGCTCAACAAGAGAAAAAAGACGTTAAAATGACTCAATTAAATGGTGTGAAAGAGATGAGGCAAATTAAGATGGAATGGAAAAACGAACCTGGAACCTCACAGCAACAGCACCCTTATTGCCAGCTTTGGCATGCAATCCAGTCTTCACAGAGGCGGAGGCCAATCCACGAACGTATTCACAGAGGCCAAGACGAAGGAAGACAAAGATGCACACACCAACGAGTTGGGTAGTGCAGAGGAGGACGTAGGGTTCACCTGTCTCCGAGGCCTGGTCAAAGAGAGTCTGCAGTGTGGTGCCCCAGTACTGCTGGTTCTCCGAACTCTGTTTGTTTGCCACCACGTTACTTGCATTCAAATCGATGATCTCCTCAAAACCCACTACGAAGATATCCGTAGGGCGAGTAAAGGCCTCCGACTCAACGTAGGGGTTCCGAAAACCGGTGTAGTTATGGCGGCTCTCCAGCAGCCAGTCAGAAAGGTTATTATCCCAGTGAGCCAGAGATCGCACGTTTCGTCCACCATTAACATTCCAGGTGCCGATGAAGACCTTTAGCCGTTCACGGCGTGTAAATTCGGCGTTTCGGTCGAGAATATTTTGTAAAACCGACTGCGGTAGGAAGTGCAGTCTCGGTGGAAGAAATTGGCCTATGTGGATATGACAATAGATCAACTAACGCATTGTTTTAAGAGACCACAGCGCTTTTCTACGTACTTATCTTCCTGAAAGCCTCTTATTTATGGCTCTAGACCTGAGGTACTCTAGATTCGCCACATTAGAAGGGAAATCTACTCCCTAGTTAAAAAGAGATGCCGACACATACCTTTGTGGCCCTGGCACTCACTTAGGTGATTTTTAACCCTACCTTCGGACCCACCTTTTTTACGAATTACCTGTTTATCAGCCCCACCCATATAGCTGACTTCTCAGATAGAAGTGGTTATAAGGCACACCTAGGTAGGACTGGTTTTCCTTTCTCTACATAAATACAAGTGATTTCTGGATAAATGTACATTCTGTGTCAAAAAAGGGATGCATGAATTTAATAAAAAGACGCACAAGCCACCAGACGTTGCCACCCAACAAGACTGGAGCAGTTGAGCACTGAAACCATGGCCTCCTGTTTGGCACTATCAAAGAAGTTGTTTTTGATAGTGCGTGCAGCACTGCGTTGTGCATTCCGCAGTTTTGACCTGTCGCTACGCAATGCACCCGTTCCTGTGTATATTCGACTCACGTTGTCGCCATTCTCCAGCCATAGCTAAGAAGTAAATGCCCGGTAATAAAGCAAGCCGAAGCAACGCTCAACTTAAACAAGATTTCCTACTAGGTGTGAGAGGTAAAGAGTAGTTTCTTCGAAAAAATTTGTCTTGAATGTGAGTGAGTATTCAAAGTTAACTGCACTTCCTAACGACATTTTAAACCTTGTAGAAGGATATTATAATTAAGGAAGAGGAGGGGAAACCAATTTTGCCTTTCATTCTAGAATGCTAGTGGAAGCTTCTCTATAGGTGTATCCTCGAGGGATGTGTAGGGCAGAGCCTCGCTTGATCAATGGGAAGCTGTTTTAGAACCCGATTTCACTATTTCCACCAAAAGATGCAGGTTCAAGACAATTTAACGCCATATGCTGCGATGGTAATTCAGAATCAGGCCTTCCAGGGAGTTGATGTTTGCAGGAATAACTACACAGCCGTCGGGATCGAAAATTCCCACTGACGGACGTGCTTGAGGTCTCCTGTAAGAGTGTGGATCTCTGTGATTTTACGTCTTCGTCCACAAGAGACCTCACCATTACGTGACTGCACGCATGCACTACCAAGGTTGTTTGTCGCCTAGACTGGACCATGACAATAGGCATTGACTTTAGGCAGTAGGACACATTTGTCACTGTAACGAATTGGGCGACTCTCGCATTTCGGACACGCTTCTCTTGAGAGAATAGGAAGCAAATCCATGGTGGACATGCATTCATTCATTCATTCATTCATCCATCCAGCTAATAAGTGCTTCGAAATAGGGTACGTCCACTTCTAACCATGAGGCACAATGAGTAACGCATTAGTCAAGTGGTTCCCCAAGAGTACACATACATAAACTCACGGATCGAAAAATCTCTTGAGCGTGTCGCTCCGTGTGATTGCCTGTAGACGAGAGGAGATTCATCGCCTTGAGAAAATGCGAGGTAAGCAGCATGGTGGAAATCATGGTCTGGACTATATTAGTTCGATCTGAACAATCGACACAATTCGTTCTCACCTGAAAGGTAAAAAGTGAGACAAATTTATCATTCTGAAAGGTGTATGAAGTCATGAGATCCCATCTGCAATGTGAAATGCCTTCAGTGTTCTAATTTCTTGATCATCTCAAAGAAGTACCACTACCGTAGACTTCTAAGGCATCAATACACCTCCCGCAGACTGTGCACATATGTAGTAGAGTAGGGACAGAATTGCTTATGTTGCCCCGATACAGCCTTCATCTTCTTCATAGCCTCCTTCAATTACTGTCCGTCCTACTGCTCTGGCCCAGGGTCTCAAGGAGTTATTGAAACTTTATAGTCGATTTCCAGTCCTGGCTACTCTATTAGCTGATATAACAATGTGGTTAGTTGTCTACATATTTAACGATTCTATCTGGAAAAAAATTATGCATTTCCCTTTGCAAGCACAGCAATGGAGTGGGTGGCTATTTCGCCCTTCTTGATGCGGTTGATGTGAAAGTTGCATAACCGATGCATTCACATGACACTCTCAACTCTTACCAGTAAAAGAGTAATTGCAGAAGACTTCGGAAAGACCTCTTAATTACGCCATGCTTGTCATGCACAGGTAACGCATCAAAGTACTACTAATAGGCATAGGCTAAAATACGAAAGTATATATTCTACCTCGCCAATAGGATAGGAGAGTACTCCTTCCTCTAAAAATCCACTTTGAAATTAAGGGAAGTCACTGTCCAAAATTTAAGGTGAGCAGACTTACCACGCCAATTTGAAGGCGCCTCACCTCTGTCCCATCCACGTGGTAGTAGCCATAGTCATCGAGACAATTTTTCAGTGAGGAGAGCAAGGATTGAACACCCTCTAGGCTCTTTGAATTTACGCATGCGTGGTAGTCGAAGTGAATGTATTTTATTTTTGTCTAGGAGGATAAAATGAAGAGAAGAGGAGAGCATAGATATTTAACCAGGTAATCCATAGGGGGTGAGAGGTAGACAAACAATGGTCGACTGTGATCCACACATGTAGTACACGTAAATAAGGCCACAAGTGTTATTTTGCAGCTTAAAAAATTAACACTACTGAAAAACTGTTAATCCACTTGATTTAGCTGCAGACGAACAGTAGAAAGGGGTGTCATTAGGGTAAAAAAAAGATGGCGAGAAAGGGAGGAGGAAGAGGTAAAGCGTTTACAGGAATGTAGCGAGTAGAACGTCCAAAGTTAAATTGATGATTGAGAAAAGATTTGATGACAAGTAGTGCTAACCCGAGCAAACCCAGAGCCAAAAAAGATATTCCATACCCGATAATCGCAGACATTCCAGTGCTCTTTATACTGACGAGAGAGATTGCCCTCCCCATCCTTTGAGCCCATGAGATTTAAAATGACTGTGTTAGAGTAACGCGAGAGGATTTCAGCAAAATGCCGATTGAAGGCTTGCAGGGAGGTCTCAACAAAACGGAAAATCTTTATTTTGTGTGAGCCCACCTGCAAACCTGGCTGCTCCCAAAACAGCGGCACCGTTCCTCGTATTTGGACATGACTTAAGACTTGCTTGTCAACAGAGATGAACTAGAGACAAAAAGAAAGACACAAAAAAGATCAGATTAGAAACAATGCAGGAATGCATCCTCGAATATAGAAGGACAGGGAAGATAAGGAATGGCTGCATTATGAAAAAAAATTACAGCATTGCCGTAACACAAGTAATAGGAGGATACATGAAGTACGTTAGGCCTCCACCTCTAAGGTGCAAAACAAGAGGAGGAGAACCGGTCTTTATGTAGGCTCAAGTAATGCTACTTATTCCATATACAAGACTGCAAAAAAACTACGATGCATCCATCGTTTTTTATCCCTACCAATGTCTACAACTACTTCATTTTCAAATGGCAAATAGAACGTCAGGGTCAAAGGTGATTGCGTGAAAACAGTTTTTAAATGTGCTTAGGGCGATCAGTCTCGCGTCAGTTCCACACCAATAATTTTGCTAGGCATTGTCAATGGTACTTAGAGCAACTGAGTCTTGTCAATGTGAATAAGAAATTAACTCTCTAGACTCAATACCTAGTGAAGTAGAAGAATGAGTGGATTGAATGAACAAAAATAGAAGAGCTCTCATACTGGGGAAAATGTGGATCATCTTGCCATGGACAATAACCGTAGTTTTTTTTAAAATTAGGGTACTGCGAAAACTTTTTCCAGTAAGAGCGAAACCTTAAATCAACCCTGATCTAAAAGACAGAATATGAGGAGGCCATAACAATAAAACTCCAAACGTACAACCGTTCAAACATGAGGCTAAATAAAATGCGACCGAAATAACGCTCGACCTGGCCAGGATTAAGCCTGGTTTATTAGAACGGTGTAGCAACAAAGAGACCAATTTAGCAACGTGAAGTTCACAGTTTGATGCGCAGTATAAACCAAAAGATGTGTTAGATAAGGAAGGTAAGCGAATAGAGTAAGGCGGGCAAAAAAAGAATACGAGACTGAAGACCTGGTATCCCAGATGAGACTTGGTTATGGTTTTTTGTAGCTTCATGATTGATTCAATATCGTAGTGTTGTGAAGACCCAAATAGACGAAAATTTTGTGACTAAGGCAAAAAACCAGATGACGACGGGTAGAGACCAAACGTACAACTTCAGTTTCAACGAAATTTGCAACATAGCCGTTGTCATCAACGCCTCGAACGTTGAAGCGCGTGCCAGGACGCATAGTAGAGAGGCGTGAGACCACACCGATCTGCGCACGTTGCAAACCGGCGTAGAGTGTAGAAACGCCGAAACTGCCACAAATGACAGGATAAACCCACTTGGAAGGAGAGACTCTTTGCTGGAAGAACAAAGACATTAGGCCGCGGTTCCAGAGAAAGCGCTGATCATAGGAGTCCGATATCTTATAACCCACGTTGGACAAGCGAAAATGGCTTTGTGCACTTCTTGTTATATCATATGACAGACCCGTTGAAAGATCCTTGGCAAAATAAAATGCTCCAGAGGATAACAGCTTCTTGAACTAAGGGAAAAGCGGACGCATAAGTCTAAATAAACATTTCAAAAAGAAAACACGTTTTCAAAAGAAGACAAAGACATGACAGCTAGACACTGAAGAACATAAAATAATCAGCGCACTAAGTTTGTCTTTTTGGCACAGGAGAAAACGGTGTATAACAACAATAAGACAATCCGAGAAACACAAATTTATGCGAATATGAACTCTTAGCAGCACACTAAGTATTATCTTATCAAAAAATTAAACCACCTCATTATTGGATTCGTCTTCAAGGAATTGTTTGTTAAGACATAGGAAGTTAACGCCGGTGATTCGATAAACTTCATAATCAGGGAGTTTACCAATTAGGCTACACTCAGTTACAGTGACCAGGAACGACGAGTATGCTTGCAGGACTGGATCATAATTTGAAGATTTGTAAACACCCAAACAACAAAAAACATCGGCAATCTTAACAATCTGATCCTTAATGAGGGAAAAATCGTATAAATTTAGTTCCGTAATTGCACCGGCATCGAATCGAAGGAATTCCTGTTTATCTCGTCGCTCCAAAATCACACAAATGGATTGCTGAGAACTGTTGCCGAGCTGTTTGTGATATGAAAGCCGCCATCCCCTAGGATAGGCCATTTGACGAATCCGAGTTCTTAATAGAACACTCGATTTAAAAATCCGGGCAGTTGACTTAGAAAGTCATTGGAGAAAACTGATTAAATAGAACTGCAAGCACAGGTAAGTTAATATTCCGCAAACACGAATGCTGACTTCAAAACATATTGATTAGCAAACAAGGGATCATGATGATAAGGCCGAAAAATTCTAAATTGCCCGGTAAGCATTAGATTCTTTGAAGAACAAATTAACATGGTATTCGAACGCCAAAAATAAATGTGTGGAAAAAAGAAAATTTTTTTTTTTGCAGCATGCGGTCAAAATCAACTTATCTTAACTTGTCATGTCTAAACAATGGGCCATTTTTATTAATATCCATTGTTGCATTCCTCCAAGCACTTTCTGTAGCGATTTCACGGTTTATGAGTTTAACACGCTATAATGAATCTAAAAGTTCCATCAAACCACCTGTATTTCCATTTGCAACCCGCAAACCATAAAATACCTTAGTGGCTTGCGGGATTGGTTTGTAAGTGTAGGTGTGTTTCCTTACATTCCTTTTTGATCTTCTTTAGTTTTACCCGTTGCATCTAACATTTTATTCCAATTCGTTGTCAAATAGTATCAGTCCTCTTAAATGTGTTCCGAATTTTTCGAAATTCCTCTCAAAAATCCTAGAGATTGAGTTCTCTTTCGGCTTGCGTGTTATGGGTATGGAATGCACGTAAGCACTTTTGTGGACTATTGACAACATAATATTGCTTCCAGGAACCAGCTTGTTTTCCTTGTGGTCTCTATTCAGTGATTCTGTTAGTTCTCTCTTACAGATGCATGATTTCTGGTTTAGCTACTGCTGTCTTGTGGTTTCTGCCACCTAACGATTTGTACACATCAACTATGCCAACGGTAACGCGTTCTCTTTCAACTGCTCCTCTCAAAGATGTCTACCAAAAGGAGCTTTTGCAGATGCTTGATGCTCATCGTGGACCGAAAGCCATTTACTGGGAACGTGAAGCCATTCCTCCAGTTAATCTCATTGTCGGACATTCATTGCTCAAGGTGGATTTGTGTTCCTATATCTCACATCTATTCGCTTTGATGTAGTTAATACCCAACTTGATTCTGCATTAGGCGCAACGTTCCCTCATGCATAAGGCTATGCGTCTATCTCTAGCTGTAGTACCTCTTAATAAATACGATTTTTTCATTCGTTTGTAGCTCGCTTCGGTTCGGTTTATTGCCTCTTCATAACTTCATTTTAGGACCATGGCGTGAGTTATTCGTTTGTGATTGAGTCCTCACAAACCGCTCCACCGCCCCCAGATGTCAATGCAATTTTCTTTATTCTCCGCTCTGAGTTAAAGGTTCTCGATATTGTTGTTAAGTATCTAAAGATGTGAGTTCACCTAATGCATGATGCTCGCTATTTGTGCCTGCATTCTATGTGTCCGCGCCATCTTACATGATTGCCTAAATGTTATATTTAAGCACTGTTAACAGAGTGGTTTTTGACACAACAGTCTGGAGAACACTTTTTTTCGATTTAGAGAATTTTCCCGTCATCAACAGTCCACTGATTCTGCAAAAAAAGAGTATTGTATAATTGCCATTCCAAAATGTTCCATCGTTTGTAAATCATTTCTACGAGAATCTCAAATTATGGAAAGACTCGCCGGTGTCTACGATCTACCTTTGACCCTTTTACCTCTTGATAGTGACCTTCTTTCCATGGAAGATCCGGATTGTTTTTCCGTACGTTTACACAAGCATCTTAGTAATGTACATAGTTTTGTGACGAGCCTAATAGCATCCTCATTATGTGCGGTGTACTTACAATTTCTGTCCTCATCGTTACTTTCAGGACTTTAGCTTACGAAACAAAGAAAACAGCCTGTTCAACTTTGCCAAAGGCCTTATGAAATTCCAGTCCGTCTACGGTCTTTTCCCCCGGATACGTTCCAAAGGACCCAAAGCTAAGGTATCTCTGGACCTCTTATTTCATTTAGGCTCACTTCCAGATGGTATAGAAATAAGGTGGTTGAAATGTCGAGCACATTCAAACTAGACACATAGTGCAGAGGAGTCCCCTGATTTTACTCCTTAGTATCATATTTTCCGCCTTAGCTTGAATATGGCGGGACAACTTATGTATGAATGCTCAGTGGTTAGAAATATGCTTCAGGAGAAAAGTGTGCACCAAAAGAAGAATGAAGTCGCATGTTTGTAGACGTTTTTAACGTAATTCCATCGTGAAGAAGTTGATGTTAATTTGTTTTCGGGAAAAAAGGACAAAAATGGCCGTTGAGTGCGTTACATAGATTATAACTCATCTCGAGGAGTAATTTTGCCGATCGCGCTTACATTAGTGTTGTTGATTGCAGCGAATCGCGGAAATGCTTTCGCAGATGCGACAGGAAGCGATGGCCACAGCCAATCTGGACGCTCCGGCCAGACAGGAAGGCACCGTGGTACAGCCGTTGGAGTCACCCGGCCAGACCGACCTCCTTATCATCATTGATCGCAGTGTTGACGCTCTGACCCCGTGTCTCAGCCAACTCACTTACGAAGGTCTCATCAATGAACTTTGGCCTGTCATGCATGGCAAGTCGGCGGTGATTGTTGTTAGTCGCTTTTATCCGAAAACGTCCGACTTGTTATTAAGGTATCGTGGTGTACGTAGGAAGTGCAAAATTGCCCCAGGCTGGAAATAAAAATGAGCCAAAACGGGTTGTCTTTAACTCCGCCGATGTGCTCTTTTCCGAGATTCGAGGTCAGAACTTTGCTGACATTGGTGTTATTCTTAGCAAGAGGACCAAAGAGTTGTCAAGTGTAATGAATGTGGGTTAACGTGACCCTGTTGCATCTATCCTCATGATTTGTTTAGGAAGCCAAGTCCTCCACTAAGTTGACAGCTCTTCGTCAAGTTGTAAATCAGTTGCCTGAATTGAGGCAATCGCATGCATCTACGTCATTACGTGAGTCTTGGCTGAAATTGGACACCTACTTTGCCCACTGATCACCACTTATTCCTCCTCTGTCTTCTCGTCTAGATGTGACGATCGCTGAATGTATTCGAGAGTACGCTACTGCGGAAAACTTCATTGCTTCCTATGGAGCACAGCAAGGTACTAATTTGGCTCGCACTTGTTCATTTAACTAACCTCTTTAGACTTTCTAAATGGGCTCGAAGTGGATAAAATTCATCCCTTCGTAGAGCAGCGAATTCTTCAAATGGCACCCATCGAAGAAGTATGTGCGACCATTAATTTGTACCCCCTTAACTAATGCCTTCTCTTTCACTATCTATAGGTTCTCCAACTACTCTGTGTGCAATCGTTTTGTAGTGGTGGCCTAAAGCAGCGTCCGATGGAGTTTTACATGCGTGAAATAATTCAGGTTAGGAATGTAAACATTAGGATAATCGGAGCCTACAGGCATGGTCAAACGGCTAGCTTATTTGAACTGTGATCGGTAATACGTTTGGGTTCAGATGTACGGCCCAGAGCACATGATAACGCTGAATAATCTGCGCAAGCTCGGTCTACTGGAGGAGAGCTCGCGGCTAACCCTCATTGCAAGACCGACAGGTGGTCCTGCCGACATCCTCTCAGGTGATACGAGCACAGCAGTGCGTCGCACAATTGCGTCTGTTTCGCTGGCCTACGCGAGCACCCTCCGTAGAAGCCTTCGGCTTCACGTGACAGATGAGACTCCACCGCCGCGGGAAGAACAGAACCTGGATGCTGCCTTCGCGCGTATTTTTGGGGGTTGGGTACCAATCAGTGTGCGCTTGGTGCAGGCCATGACCCTCGGCTGGCCCACGCGTCCGCTAATATCAACCACCTCTGGCACGGGTGGGGCACTCCTCTCGAACGCCGCCTCCACGGCTCTTTATGCTGGACGTAGGTGAGTGGAACTACCCATTTCTAACCGCCAATTTGTCGCTTTTGCTGCTGAATGCTGCATCGGTGCCTTAGGCTCGTCTCCCACGTTCAGGCAGCGAGTGCTAGCAGCGGCAGTTACGTGACAGATCTCATACCAGCAGTGGAGGTGGACGAAGTGCAGAATCCTGGAGAGACCGGGATATCTTCGACAGGCGCTGGTCTGATCAAACGCCCAACGCCAAGTGCGGGCCCCGAAGGCAGCAAGACGGTTGTGATAGCTTTCGTCGGTGGAGTGACCCATTCTGAGCTGGCTGCTCTCCGCAAAGTAGCCGCATACGATGAAGGTAAACAATTAAGAAGCCCTACACCTCCAGATCTGAATAAGAGACAAAACCTCGGCGACCACGCCAACGTCTCCAAACACACCACATTAACAGCAGATGCGTAGCACTCCCTATACAGGCCGTATCACAGGGTGTAACTGCTTAACGCCGTACCTTTATTTCAGGTCAAGTGGACTTCATTTTTGCAACTACGGGGCTGTTGACTTGGAGAAGGTTCATCAAATCTTTGTCAGACCGCATATCCGTCGCGGACACGGAGGGATGATTTACACCTTAAAAATATTTACTTCCCGATTCAGCTACAATCACTGATTACCACATTGTGGATTATTTCATATGCATTAAAACCGAGTCTTTTTACCGCACCCTCCTCCGACTTACAAAAAATTTACGAATATCCTAGTGGCGCCAAGACTAGTTCCCACAGCGCAAGCGTACAAACAAGGACCCCGCTGATATCTCGCAGTATCATTTTGGAAATCAGGAGTCGGTAAAGGACCTCGGTCACCGTAGCGCAACACGATGGCTAACATGCAGCCAAATTTGTCAGCCCAGAACAGTCCGAACTAGTGCAATACTAGCGGTGTACTCAACCTAAATTATGGGAAAAGTAAGGCAATACAGCCAGTAGCATGAGTAAATGGTTTCCCAAATAGAATTCCCAAGTAAGGCACGAGTCTGAACTCGGTTACCTCAGTATTATTCGGGGAAAAGAATCTACAGTCTGCGACCGCGACGTCCGCCCTTTCTTCTCGTACTATCCGTGGGAATTGGGGTGACATCCTCAACCCTGCCAATCCTCATTCCAGAGCGCGCAAGTGCCCGCAACGCGGACTGAGCGGCCGGACTAGGCGTACGAGCCCTAAGAAAGAGAATCACACGGAATACAAAACGTACTTGGTGCCACCGGTAGCACGAATGCGAACGTGAAGTGCACCAATGCCCAAGGCCTTGCAACGTTCGGCAACATCTTGAGCGGCAAGCATAGCAGCGTATGGACTGGATTCGTCACGATCTGCTCGAACCTTCATTCCGCCAGTAACACGAACAATTGTTTCGGAACAAGTAGAATCCGTAACATGGACAAAAGTATCGTTGAATGAAGCATAAATGTGACACACACCAAAAACTATTTCATTAGGATCCAAGGCAGCTTTGAGAGACAATTGTTCCTCAGCCTGAACCTTCCCAGCTTTCCTTCGCGCAGCCATTAAACGCTAACACGTCACAATTAAAAAGCGCGCCTCTGCGCATCAATTTAATGTAGTCCTTTAAAAATTGTCGCCAATACAAACAAACTGGGTGATCTAAAAATAATCACATTTAGCCAACAAAAACACTTAGTTAAATTTTAAAAGCTGTTTATTTTTTTAAATCACACACGCTTTAAGTCTACAATGCCTGCAGGCATTACCTAAATAAGTTATTTTGACATCAAGAATAGGCCTAAATGATATAAAAAGCCTATTTTAGAGAGCCGACGCCTTTATTACAATGATTTTATTTTCTTCAAAACCGGTTTTTTTCATTTATTCGCTTTAATTGTTCTTCATTATAATTTCGCAAATGCAATCCTTCTTTGCTCTTTTTTTGCACATACATTAATTTGAGTAGCAAATGGGGCATTAAAAGCTAACTGGTTAGTCTCTCAGTTTTAGCGGTTAGCAAATTTTAACTTTGCCTATGTAGCGCGTTGAGTGAGCTGGCCTTCGGCTCACGCCAGTAGCCCAAATACTTTCTTTATGTCGAATATTTGTATACTACTCGAGCATTATGTCATCCTCCGTCTTCATGGGGGTCTCCAAAACACACTATATTGCTGATCATGATGCAAAGTTGATGTCGAAACAGAAGCACAATCTGTGGTGACAGATTCGCCAAAGTAACTAGACATGTGATTAGACGCAGAAATATACCCTAGTCTTTGTCACCTTAATTTGCCTCTTTTTTAGATCATATTACCTCTCGTTATGACCAATGTTTACAATGTAGGTGTAAAACATCAGACCATATGATGGTCAGGGGTTTTATTGAACATTCGAGAAGCAAGGTTGCGCTTGAAATTCGAAGATAGCATAGCTCCTTTGGAAGCATGATCCTTAATCTATGCGAATCTTGGCGAGACACATTTGCCTAATAGGCGGGCGTCTTGAAGATAATGTAAATTCGAGGACCCTTCTTGAAGCAGAAGGAGTTGCCACCCTCGTAGGAGTAAAACGCGTGGTACTGACCCCTCACTATAAGCACATGCCAGAGACGACCATACTTCTCGTCCAGCTTCGCCTTCAAGGATCGTACGATGTCCTACAAAGAGCAAAGGTGGACAGTATGGTATACGTGCTTTGTTAGTAAGTAAAACAAGAAAATTCTTTTATTTTAACACTGCATATAAATAATGCCGCTTTTCCTTGCTCGATTGCAGGAATTGTTACTTTACTAAATGATACTTAAAACCAGCTCCCCTAATGGCCTACTTCTAATTGGATTGCTTTTTCAGCTGATTTTTGCTTATTTGTTTGTAGTATTAGAAATGGCTTACTCTGTCGTTAACCTCATTTGTTTCTTCCACTTGTTTCACGAGGTCAAAAATGACCTTCTGTTTGTCCGGCTCCATATCCTCAGCAATTTGGAGGATCTCAGGTTGCTCCTCTGGGGCAGTTGGGGTGTGTTCTGCCTTTTCATCCCTAAAAAGGGGAGGGAAAGTGATGTATTCTTAAATTGTACGGGATGGTCTCCACGTATTCTCTATCACCATCAATAACGGTCATGAGGTAAGATTAGAAGGGAAAAAAGCCGATTCAAATGTTACAATTGACAGTTGACAAGTTTCTATGGCGACATATTTCTCATCCAATGGGTTCATGCAAGCTTTAATCATGTAACCAGTTCAAGCAAAGCGCAGTTACAAATTCTGAAGTCAACATCAAAAATGACAACGTTGTGATTGCCGATCGACTGCTCAATTAGAAGTGTTTATCCCAGAAACCTAAGTAGTCTTGTAAATTGGCTCTTAATTGTTGCGAGGTTAAACCATGCGCCTTACTTTAGAGATTTACATAGAGGTGCGTCGGAATGTCTTTACTTACTCCTCCGGGTCCTCCTCCTTACTCAATCCAAGTACCTCACTAAATCTCTGAAGCGTGATAACCCCTGTGTTTTCTGGATCAAACAGTTTCTGCCATCGCTGCAATGGAAAATGCATTCATCAAAAGCCAAAAGCTGATGCACTATCAAAAGCCATGATTTGTACTATATGAAAAAATATTGACATCTAAAGTTCCACAAAATGAAAAGTATAGGCTTTCCATCTTTGGGGTCACATGCACACAATGTTGCCGATGTCCTTACATTAGTTGTTTAGGATCAGGTCCGTTCAACTAGCAAACAATAAAGGCGATTTTGAGGTGCAGAAATGAAGCTCCTTTTAAATGCATTTTACGACAAGTTTTGTAGGGTAATGTCAATTTGCTGCCTGATGGGCAGCATGTTTCACGGCATAGTACATCAGCTTCAAGGAGAGCGCCAAAACTTACCTGGATGAAGTCTTCGTTGAGGTTATTTTCTCGACGATAGTTCTCCAGATCCTCAATGGTAATTACATCTAAAAGGCGAATAAGTAGATGGCATCTTGAAACTGTCTAATTTTAGTCATTTTGACGGGTACATTCTGGTGATACATTCGTCTACAACCGCAGAGGGATCCCTAATGAAGACCTATCTTGACGCCAATGTTGTGGAAATGTTTGCATTTATAGTTGTCTGTAGAGCGCGGGAAAGATTAAAGCACCGCGACACCATATATCGCCTGTCTTGAAGTAATAATTAATACCTCTGTATAACTTAGCACCAACCATAAAGAGACGGGGGAAAATCTAGGTGTAAGTTTGTAACCTGCACATATTCAATGCATTCTTGAGCACATTACTATAAAATCCTCTCTAAATACGGGAAGGCCTAACAGAAACTTTCCCCAACATTAAAAATCCCCTGTTTTCTTATTCATCTGAAGGGTCAAGTGGTTCAGCACTTGCATTGCGTCTCGCCTAGTTGACTTCGTGTGCACAAATACCCTGTGTTTCGGCTGACTGACGTCGGCACAGACCCACCCCTCTAACTCTGGGGCGAAACCACACAAAATTCACAAATTCATGTTAGACTGTGCACAATTGAACCATGAAACCAGTTACAGCATGCTGCTCTGTTGGTAAATTTACACGTGGGTACGTGTGAAGACTACATGGCACGGCAGAATGTTTCACTCTACCTCATCTTAGGGGGCTTAAGGCGTAATGTTAAGCAAAAAGAAGCATTTAGACACTTTCACCACAGACACCCAGGATACAAAACCGTTTTATTGATGCAAAACAAAACGTTCTTCAAACAACAATTGAACAAAATGCATTGTGTCCATTTAAACAATTTCATCGGATTTTTATTCAAACCTTGGTGAAAACAGCATTAACAATTATAATAACCAAATTTCCCACGTGTTTTTACCTTACAAATAGACGGATTAGGCACTTTCTGAAGTGCACATTTGTATACATAAACAGCTTCACGAAAAGTAAACAAAACGCGATGTGCAAATCAAAAGTCCCTCGAGTGCATTAGGCCGCCAGTAATGCTGATCACGTACCAGAGTGTTTCTTGTCAATCGTGAAATATGCGTCCTTCAGTTCTTCGCACATTATCCTGCAAGTGCAGTTTGTTCAGAGGGAGAAGATGACGAAAAACAACCAAGCCGCCTCGACCAAGTGCCTCCGCCTAACAACGGAGTGTGAGTGCTGCCAATTCACGTGCTGCGGCTCGCCATTGAATCCTGCCAGCTTGCGTGCGTGCGAGCGTAGCCACTCACACGGGCCGTTCCGTCGGAGCGCGCCTTTTACCACGTACTGATTGGTTCACCCTCAACCAATAGGAATGATGTATTTTCCTGTTAGGAAACCGGCTAGGCACGGGAAATGATCGACGATGTACCGGTAGGTTGTCATTAAGGGGCTAAAATTCACGTATTTTAAAACATTAGGCACATCAAATTGTTAAAAAATGTTTGGAATTAGCTCTCCAGGGGTAGCATTAACTCAATAAATGTAAAAGCTGAGGCAAAAGAAGGGTTTTCCAACAAATTTGAAAATTGGGCAATTCTATCATTGCGTTACTAGTAGCCTGCCGGATATAAAACTAGAGAGACTGCATTAGCTTCCGCGATTTTGCGGAGGAGGTCTTGAACTACTTAACTAAACTCTCTAAGCAAAAACGTGCCAAAATACCATTATGAGACATTTTTGGAAACAAAAAGGGTATAATGTAATGCTTATGTTGTTTTAATGTACCTTCCAGGGGGCAGGCAAGCAAGAAATTCGAGTCTCGTGACTGGATTGTCCCCTCCCATACTTAGTGACTGCGTCTCCCCCCCCCCCTTCTTGAACGCTGTATTTTCCCTCTCCATGTTTTCAACTCTAATAAATATATCCAAAATGAATCAATCGGACTTGCCTAAGAACGCTAGGGATAGAGAATTGGAGACCGATGAGTCTTGCTCCATAGTAAGCTCTAAAACTTTCGGCTACATGTTTTTTGGCAGCTGTTTTAGCATGCTAGTCTGCTACATTGCATTAACCAATTATTTGAACTAACCGTTAGCACAGGCCTTTTAAAACACACAAATGACATAAACTACTTAAAAAATTTGCTAGTAATTAGCTGCTTCTACATCCTACCTCAATGAAAAGAAAGTCGTGTTATAACAAATCGGCTTTTCACTAATGTGACCTTTCAAGTTCTGGGAATTATGAAAAATTCAGAAAATGAATGCGGAGGCTTTGCTGAAAAAGTTAGATAGTATGATTTCCATTATCCTAAGTGGAACAGGGCTAATGGAAATTGAAGAATTGCAAGCGGATCCTAGTCTCCCAGTTCGCTTGTGGAAAATTCTTCTCAATCGTGTGTCGTAAGTTAGTTCTCCAATCAATTGCTCCTAGATTAAAAAATGCGGAAGCGTCATTCAAAAACTGCTTACTCTTGCTGAAATATTTGGATAAAATTGGTGTTTATTTGGATTGTAACACCGTTCTGAATGACTTGAGCTCTGTCATTTTTGCAATTGGCATAGACAATTCTGGTGCTATGTCGGATGAAGCTTGGATATACCTCATTATTTTGATTGAGAACTGTCTTTTACTTTCATCTTTTATGTAAGCATTTCAATTGTTGTACATAAGCCTTAGGTCTGACCATATTGCTGATGTGAGTCTTCTGCCTGTTTTGGCACACTTGTACTCCCATATACTTGAAATTGTGCGAAGCCAGAGAGGCAATAAAGTCAGACTTCGGGCCATTTCTTCAATTGAAGTTTTTGTGGATCGTTTTAATAAGATTTCCAGTGGCGGTATATCGTATGTGCGTGCATTACGTGCTTCATATTTCTCGAAAATACTCCCTGGCATTTCGCAAGCTCTTTTTGCCGCTGTTGTGGGTGAAAAGGGCAGAAACTCGGCCATTAAAGCTGTAAGACATTTAAACATATGTTAAATTTAGAGTGCTCTTCGGACCTTATCTAAACTGGTCGTTGTTTGCGTTGGAAATGAAACTTTACAAGATGTCGAATGTAAAGATATTCGTCCTTTTTTGCTCAATTTAATTTGCAGCTTTGGATAAGGAAATCTTGGACGAGATTCAGTTAAAAGACTACTTCTCCTTTGTGGAAAACGCCATATCTCCACTTGGGAAGCTTTTAAAATTTTGTTCCACGTCCATACTCTCTGAACCAATAATTTACAGTCCCTCGGCAAAAGACCGATTGTTCCTTGCACTTTCTGATTTTTCATCGGATATACTATGCAATTGCTGGAGATTTCTCAACCTGAACACAGATGCACAGTCATTGCGAGATCATCTTCTCAGCTCTCTTATTATCGTTGATGTTGACGACAGTTGTTCTTCACTCAAAAAAGCCTCTAAAGTTCTTTTAGAAATTTCAAAACGGGACTTTCCAACACTGACCACTAAGGATTTTTCCGGATTAAATTTTGTGGGTTTATCTGGCCGAGAGGTTATCGATGATATTGCACGCCAAATTTTGTTGGATGTGTCGGAGGAGCTTGCAGCAAGTTTACAAAAGTGCTCAGGTTAGCTATCTATAGGTTCGTCTGTCAAAATCTGTCAGAATACTATTTAGTACTAGTTTTAAATTGTCTACGTATGCCACTTTATCCCTTAGATGAGAACATTTGCCGATCTCTGCTTGGTCGAATGTGTGGTGTTCTGAAATTCTTGGGTAAATGAACCTTCTTTCATGTGATCTCATCTTTCAGGTGTTAAGGGGATCTCCCGATTCAATGAAAATGAAAGTAATTTAAAATCTTGTCTTACTACTCTGTGTAAATACTTGGAGCTCGATGTTGACACTGTATGCCTAATTGATGAGGTCACCTCATTGCCCACTGGGACATGTTCAACTGGTAGTAGTTTGTTTGTTTTTTTTTACCATTTACTTACTTTTCCCATAGTCCAGCTTTTCAGAAAGTACTTTGTACATTTCCGGAATCCGGCAAACCTCTACCGAGTGTTGGAGGTGGTTTGTCTGCTAACCTGTTCATGTAAGTTAAGTTATTTAAGTTACTGGCAAACGTAGGTTTAAACTTTGATTGTGTAAGTCAAATGTTTGTGCGAATCATGGAGTCTGATGCGGATCTTGAGGTCTCGTCCATTCTTCTCCTTTCTGCGTGTGCCTCTGGCCTTTCCCGTTGTGGTAAGTAGTAGTCGCATTTCTTCATTCTCTTGCCTACGTAATATTGGAGTATTTACTCAACTATTGTTTTTTGTCTCCATACCCTTCAGATGACCAACCTGTCTCAGAAAGGATTAGTCTTGTCGTGTAAGTCTTTAAAGAACCGACAAATGTATGAATTACACTAAATGTTTATACCGGTGCTTTCTTTTGTGCTTAGCACTTTGTTGGACAGACTGTCCGAACGAAGTCCTCTCCAGTTGAATTCTGAAACAGATCAGACTGCTATCACGCAATGGCCTCCATCTGAACAGCCGATAATTGATGCATTTCCTACTCTTACTACAAAAGAGCAAAAATTCAGGTGTTTGAAAGCCTGCACTTTCATGGAACTTCTTGCCACTGCCTCAATGGTACGTTCTCAAAGTGCTTCAGTCCTTTTGTATGACCTTGTCTCTACGAGTCGTACGGGACGAGTTAGAGGGTCGCTGTGAGTCGTTTGAAATGGGAATGACTTTTCTTCCTTTCACATTTGCAAGCAGAGCATTAGGGGAGCATATATTTCAATTTTGACCTTCTGGGCAGTTGCTAAGTCAGTAACAAGTTGATTGGAAGCTTCTAGAATTGACGTATTGACGCGGAGGATGTAGTATTTCGTTTACCTCTTTCGAGAGTGATTCGCTGCATCAGAAAAAGGCAGGAAAGTGGGATGCTGCTACAGCGAGCGAGAGATAGGCGCCCAGTTGTAAACTCGTGGACATTTGATTCCAAAACGTTGTCACTTATCCCATTCTGTGGGTGCATACCTAAGACAAAAATCTAAGCAGTGGTTTAAACGTCATTTTCTGTCTTGCAGATTTGGGGCTCATCTGCGGAGGAAGGAGCTACCTATCCGGATGAAATGCAAACATTTATTTTACAAATGTTTGGCCTTGCAACCGGTGCCGGACTGATCGCCTCGACCGCTCAAAGAGCCCTTTCATCTATCTCCACGAATTGTGGCTATTCCAGGTTTTTTTTTTATTATTCGTTGCCTAGTTTTACTGTCGTATTTAAAGGAAAATTTTCTCTGAGCCATAGCTATCTTTCTTAATTACCACAAATGCTCTTACCAAATGTCCATTCGACTTCGTACCTACAGGCCTTCCTTTCCTCTTTTAGGTTCGAGGAATTCACTTGTGCCGCATCTGAACCCATTCTCTCATCCCTAACCATCGACTTCCATGCAGTTCTGCTCTCTATACCATCGGATAATTCAGCATTCTCTACGTCTCCGTTGTTTATAAAGTTAGAGACCGCTTGTCGAGCTCTCTCCTACCTTGTGGACAACACGACTTTTGAGGCAATTCAACGAGTACAACCTGTCGTCATGCAAGTATGTGGTGTATGTGGTCTTTCAAACTGGGACCCTTTGATGCTCTTTCACCGTGTCATTTCACCCTCCAGATGCTTATTTGTATGGATCTGAGCTACGAGTTCGCGGCGTCTGTTTTTTTGCCCGTCCTTCGCAAGATTGTCGGTTTTTGCCTGCGACCAAATCCAACTAACGTTGAGAGTAGTGGCGATTCTAGGCGCCCTCTTCCGCTATATTCGTCAACAACAATCGGCTCGGAAGTTAGTTTTATCGAAAAGTTAAAAAACCGGAGAAACGATAAGGTGAGAGTGACCTAAGTCAGACCTGCCACTGATCTGCAAGGATAGAGTATGGCTTCATCTAATTGCTGTATGTGATGATTCCTCCTTTTAGGCCGTTACATCCAATTGCATGAAGAAGGCTCTGAAGATGACCTCTGCCTTGGTTAATTTGACGCGTAGGCAACATAGCTATGCCTTTAGTGAGTCGCCTTCGCACACTGACCAGACTCTGACTACTTCAACATCTTCTGATGAACAGGCGACTTTTGATGCCCAACAGGACCAACCGATCACCCGTCCCACCCACATAAGGCTGGCTGAAGAGGTAATTAGTCATTTCAAAAGGAATTTGGTCTTTCATTTCATTATTTTGCAAATAAGTAAATTAATAACTTGTAGATAATGCTCCGTACCATTCACATGATGTCGAGCAGTTACACCCGACTCAAGGTGTTGGCAATGTCCCTTCTCTGTGACGGTTGTTCTCGTTTAACTGATGAAGGTACTCTTTGCTCTCTTCAATACTGCACTTCAGTACGAGGTTCCTTCATGCCTGATTTTCACCCTACAGATGTTCTTTTACCCTTGGTTCACAAAATCTGGTCCCCACTGTTGGCAAGAATGCAAGATCGTAATCCTGCGGTCGTTGAAAAGGTAACAGGACGACTTTGACATTCGTGATTCCTTTGGACGTCAAAATTATTGGTTGTCTTCTAATCACCTATAGGCTTTTGAACTGTTTGCAACGCTAACCTCCGCAGCGGGATCCTTCATTCGATCTCGAGCGTCAACCGATTTGATTGGGTCTCTAGTGACATTTCTGGAGCGCGGAGCTTCCGTCAGGTACTCTAACGATTGTAGGGTTATATGTCTCTCCGATACCTCCCAGAAGTTTGTAATAATTTACTATTATTCGCTCCAAGTAGTGCGGGAGCCACATCATCATTTGAGTGTCTCACTGCTTGTCGTGTCCAGAGGCGGCTTCTTTACGCAATTGGACCTATATGTGTACAGGTACTGTTTGTTTTGATCGTTAGAAATGGATTTTCACCGAAGTTCCATTATTACCATCGAAAAACTGGATAGTTTCATTTTGCTTTAAACAGGACATGTTTTTCTAGGCATGCCTTTTTAGTGTAGGCATGGTGCCTACTGCAATTTCCTCCTAAAGCTGTGAACTGTTTATGCCGCCAACATTTTTAGATTTAGAAAATTCCTTTTTTCAAAACTAGTTACTGTGTTTTTGGTTTCAGTTGGAGCTATTTTCTAGTACATTACAACCTGTGGTGAAAGTGCTGTGTACGTATACTGATAGTGATCAACCCTCGATTTTGAGAGAGGTAGGCCTAATATGTTCTGCGTCAACAGTTGGTGTTTTGCGCTACTTACATCAATTTGTCACCATTCAGGCGGCCGCAAGTTCTCTTTGGAAACTCTATGACCTGGATCCGGGAGTTGTGGCATACGAGCTAACTGAACACGGATTTCTGGACCATTAAATCTGGACTTATTTCCTCGAATGCGTTGTGCTTTGTGATGGTTGTTTTTCGCGCTTCGAGGGGGTCGTGGTGGGTTTGGATCTCGGCGGCTGTTGTGGGCTCCTGCGGGGAGTGAATGGCGAATTCAGCACAGTGTTGGTACATGGGTCCGCTCAATGGCTGGGGTGTATGTGCAGAATGATTGGTGCATAGCAAGACATGTTTCTAACGGGGGGTCCTTATGATATCGTTGAATTAAGTAACGTCAAACACTTTACCATCTAATCTTTAATCGGAAAAAATAAATTAGCTGTCCTTATTTACAAATAAATAAAAAGTCTAGGATTAATTGAATAACTTATTGCATGAATTTTGTTTATATAGGTTGTCGGGAAGCTCGCGGCTTTGCAATGGTTAACTTTGGCGAGCCTGGACGGGTTTTTGCATTTGTTCGGCGGAATTTTCTATCGGTTTCCGTTCCAACCACACTTGCTTATCTTATTTACTTCGACTATTCTAAGACGCAGCAGGAGAAGGTAGTATCGCATAAAATTTCATCATTTTTATAAAGGCGGCTAAAGCTGTTAGGAATGGCGATTCCTATTTGGTTCCGGATAAAAGGTAAAGAAATTGTCTCGGCAGCGGTTTTTGGTTCAACAGCAGCGTACCTTCTTTTTAAATGCCTTTACAATTCGAAGACATTTGGTCTCGATACTTATAAAGGTCGCAGTGCACTCTACTCCGGTCGGAAAGTCCCTCCTGGTGTTGATCCCTGGAGATATTGAGACCTTATTTACGATGACGTTGTAGTAATAAAATACATCCATTTTGGGTTGCTTGTTTTCTGCTTTTATTTGTTCTTATTCCATAAATTAAACTCAGTGCATCGTAGGTCAATGGCGGAGTCGAGAAGCAGACGCCCGAATCCGGTGGACGAATTCAAAAATATGGAGTTCGAGACCTCTGAGGATGTGGACGTCCTACCAACTTTCGATTCCATGAACCTTAGGGAAGATCTTTTGAGAGGAATATACGCCTATGGCTTTGAACGACCGTCTGCAATCCAACAGCGGGCAATCAAACAAATTATTCTTGGGCGCGATGTGATTGCGCAGTAGGTTTCATGGTCCTGACTAAGTTCTCTTTCTAGGGCGCAGTCTGGAACGGGAAAGACAGCCACTCTTGCAATTGCTTCATTACAAGTTCTTGATATTCAACTACGTGATACTCAAGTTCTCATTCTGTCGCCTACACGCGAGCTAGCATTGCAAATTCAGAAGGTTATTTTGGTGCTGGGAGATTTCATGAACGTGCAGTGCCATGCCTGCTATGGCGGCACTAATGTCGGCGAAGATATCAAGAAGCTTGATTATGGTCAACATATTGTTTCGGGAACTCCGGGTCGGGTTTTTGGTAAGGTTTTTTTGCCTCTCTTCCAATCTCATCATTTATTCGATGGATTTTCTCAGATTACGTTCCATCTCGGGACTTAATTGTCTAAAAGGTTACTTCTGTTTCTGGTGAAGTGTCTTATTTAGCAACCTCTTTTGTGATTAGACATGATTAAAAGACGAAATCTGCGTACGCGAACCATCAAACTGCTAATTTTGGACGAAGCTGATGAGATGCTTGACAAGGGCTTTAAGGAGCAGATTTATGATGTTTATCGCTATCTTCCTCCCGGGACTCAAGTAGTTCTTCTGTCTGCTACTATGCCCCATGATATTCTTGAGATGACGTCTAAGTTCATGACTGACCCCGTCCGCATTCTTGTTAAGCGGTAGGTCTCTTGTCACTTTGAGGGCATCACTGTTCCCTAACCAACATTCTCTTTGCATGGATTTTGACTACGTTTCTTTTCAGAGACGAACTTACCTTGGAGGGGATCAAACAATTTTTCGTGGCAGTTGAGCGAGAGGAGTGGAAATTCGAAACACTCTGCGACCTCTACGATACTCTGACGGTTACCCAATCTGTCATATTTTGCAACACTCGTCGAAAGGCCGAATGGCTGGCCGATAAAATGCGTAAGAGTAACTTCACCGTTACAGTTATGCACGGTGACATGGTGCAAAAAGAGCGGGAAGAAATTATGAGAAATTTCCGTAGCAGTGAAAGGTAAGGCGAGATCTAGGCTTTTGCTTAGCATTTGTCAATTTCCCATATTATTTCACGCACATGTCAACTCCGAAAATGAGCTTTTTAACTTTAAGTTCATTTATGCATTTTTTGTCTTTCCCAGTCGCGTTCTGATTACTACTGACCTCCTGGCGCGAGGTATAGACGTGCAGCAGGTGTCCATGGTCATTAACTACGATTTGCCAAATAATCGTGAGCTTTACATTCATCGTATTGGAAGATCGGGACGTTTTGGGCGCAAGGGTGTTGCTATAAATTTCGTGAAAAACGAAGATATTCGCATCTTGCGAGACATTGAGCAATACTACTCCACTCAAATCGATGAAATGCCAATGAACGTGTCCGACCTAGTTTAAAAACCCCGCCCCCGTTTTTGTATATACATTGGTACCTACAACACCACCGCGTAATATGTATGGTTCCCTAACATTTATACACGTTACTTCTACAATGTTCATCCCTCCCAAAGGTCCCAATTATCCGGTGAGGCAAGCACGGGAAGGAAAATGGGGTAGTTGATCTATTTTAAAAATTTGCATTAAGATCTGAAAACAGATTGGGGTGGAGCCGTGATCTATCACAGGCGAAAATCACGTGCAAGCCGGGATGATGTGTCATGTTGGCGCTTCATTATGAAAGCAGACTAGGGTCGAGACGCGGATTGTTGCGGATGCAAATCAACTGCGAGTCGGGGTGATGTGTCATGTTGACGCTTCAGTATGAAAGCAGACTAGGGCGGAGGCGCGGATTATCACAGGGGCAAATCAAGAAGTCGGAATGGTGTCACGGTGGCGGGGGTGTTGGAGGTTGTGCACATTGAGTTCAAGGTTTGTAAATATGGTCTCATTGATTGAAATATTTAAGGATTGTGTCTACGCTAAACAGTTGCTCTTCGATAAGGCGCTTTGTCTAAAAACAGTAAAATTAAGACGGTACTCACTTTCCCGAACTCCATCAGGGTGGGCACATTGGATACTCTGAGTTGAGGCTCGAGACGGAATGCGTTGCTTTGATCCTTCCATCTAGAAAATGGCAGTGTTATTCCATGGGGAAGCATACTCTTTTCGACTTCCAGTATGAATTGTTAGGAACACAGCATCGGAGGGTAATTGTTTTAGTGCCTCTTCAACAGGCTTTTTTGCTAAAAAAACGTATTGATCGTAAACATGTGTAGACCATTAAATAAAGTGAACATAAATATCAAGTATGGTAGGGTTATACGACAATTTGGACGTTCACCTTTCCGACAATCTGGGCACCAACTTTCACCAGTTTCATCCGGCGAGGCAATAAAGTAAAGAAAACATCTACTGCTGTTATTTTTACGCACACATTCCAGAACTTCTTCCACTGATTTGAGTGCCATGCTTCAAAGTGCGAAAACGGCAAACCTAAAAAAAGTCATCACACTGAAGCTGCCAACGCACTTTTTTCGTAGAAAGCACGGAGAAAAACGTGACCGACTTTTTTAGACTATTGATGCAATAAACAAATATAAACAAAAGAATGCACTATAAGCACAAGGCTTCTTCATTAGAAACAAATAAACTACCGCACCTAACAGTAGTTTTTTACCAGAAATGCTTCCTTTATGTCTAGTTAAAACTGTGGCAAGCGAAATACGGGATAATAATTCTAATGTGTATATACTACTAGTAATAGGATTATTACTAGTTTTTATAGTGTCATAATTGGCCACATGAGTCGCAGATATGTTTAGATAGTTATAAAGCGTCTTACTAGCTTGTCGTATTAAAATGTCATTGATGACACCCTAATTTGTTTTCCACTTCAAGTCATTATAATTACTCAACACATACTTTTGCATTCAGTGTTCCTATGTCGGTTTGCGGAATAACGCCATCTGAACGCCTTTTTATTTAGTGTGATGATGTGAGCTGGCATTTGCTTAGAAGCACGTATACTCCCGTGGATAAATAGATTCCATCCTGACTGCTTGTTTTGAATGGAAGACTCTACTGTGGAGCGAGACTCCTCCGTCTCCGCTTCCCTATTCTTAGCGTTCCTAGACAGACCCAGTTGATTCGCTTTGGACATCTTTATTAAAGGTGACAAGACGGATAGGGAAAATACAATATTCAAGAAGGAGGGGAGCCGCAGTCACTAGGTAAGGGAGAGGACGATCCGGTAACGAGATTCGAATTTCCTGATTGCCTCCTCCCTGAAAGGCACATTAAAACAACATGAGTATTACACTACACTAGGGTACTCGAGGCGTTAACCTGTGTACAATCTCCCATGTTGTGTGAAATGTCAAATGCGCATTTCTTTATGATATAAACGCTGTTCCCGCTAACCACAACCAAACGCTACTGTTTTCACGCACAATTTACACTTGTTTATTTACTGCTAATGGAAAAAAATCGGTGCTTTTAAGATTATGGGGCTCGGGATAGAACAATCATGCATTGCTACACATGCCGTCCTAAACACATCTCGTATTCCATTCCTTCCTGTACAAACTGCTAGCATGACAGTCTTCCCTCCCGGCCCAATTTCGATTTGGACATGAAAGGCCCCTCCTTGATCAACACGAAGTCAAATAAGAGTAGCTATATGAACGCGTGACAAAAATTCAATCACAGTCGACACGAAATACTTTTAAGTTAATTTTTACTCAATTAATAATAGGCTTTGCACTTCTTGCATAATTTTGCTATGACAAAAATTTTTGCTTTTACAACTTACCTTTTTGTCATCACTGTGCAAATAAATTTGTTGCTTCCCTTCGTCTAGGCGTTGCTAAAACAAACAATCCACCTATTTAATAGTCATTGCTACAGAGGCGTTTCCTCTCCCACCTTTTCCCGAAAGTAACGACCCGCCAAAGTTCTGTGAAAGAAGATTTGCTTACAATCGGATGCGTTGCGAGGCTTTCATCACGGCTCGAAGATCACGCCTCAAAGTGGAAGTACCCTATGTGGAGTCTCATGCAACAGGTTGTTTGTTTAGCGGTCGGTTTTGGTAAAAGGCCACTTTGTGTCCTGCCCATTGTACCGCGCTGGGTAGGCTGGCCTTCGGGCCATGCCAGTAGGCCTAACACTTTCACTTTTCGACTACAGGGAAGTCTCAGAGTGCTGCATTGGTGGCTGCGCAAAGCGAACCCGACCTTAAAGTACATCTAGCCTGATTTCCTCTGCTGGGGTAATAAACGGTACTGGGGCGGAAGGAGTGCGTATGCTGCGGATTTGAGAATCAGTTTTGACCCTAAAAAGAAGGGCAAAAATTGACATCTACCCTTGGCAACTACTTCAGTCTTGTGTTCTGCAAGAAAGCTATTAACAATTGAAGCCGTACTATCCGTAAACCATCTGGAATAGCTTCGTTGTAGGGTTTGCATACCGTGCCTGCTGCCTTAAGCTGTTGATAAAGTGAATCCTCAATACCTCCTCCACTTCTCTACCAGCTGTATAGGGCTCGAATAGATACGACTGGACAGTTCCGAAGTGAGAACAACGTGGCAAGGAGAACGGGCGTGAGGCCCTTTCCCCCATGAATCTGTGTTAAAACCCGTCTTTCCTTACACAAATCTGTTTTTATTCCAATGTTCGTACGCCTACGTATGGACACGCACGATAGCCAGCTCATTTTCCCGTTCCTGAATCCATTTCTTAAACCGGATTAAACCTTAGATCCAAGTGAGTCGCCAACCGAAATCAGTGATGTTGCAATCAAGCATCACCTCAGTTACATAGAAATTTGATGACTGGCATGGCTGGCTCCTGGGTATTTCCTCACAGCACCGACTACGTTGTGATGGCTGACGCAAAGAAGTTGATCAAAGGGGGCATCGGAGACGGTGTTTAAAAGTGGAAAGGGGGTATGTAACTCGTTGGCAGTTTAACTCCCGGTTCTGATGAAGGACCACTATTGACTTGGTCATTGTACCACGTCGATTGGGTTGGCCTTTGGGCAATGCTAGTAGCCCTAATACCTTCCGTTTGTCGAACGTTTAATATTCCGTCTGAGTATTGTGTGTTTATTCATCTTCAGGGAAGTCTCGGGGTGCAACACTGACATACCTGTCTCCTTCAAAAACTGATGAATTACCAAACCCCTTTTACGAGAATTAAAACTTGATTTGTGCATTACATGGCCTTAAAGTTCAAACATTTAGGAAATTTTGTTAAAGCTCTCTCTTTCCACGAATTTTCAAAGCAGTGATTTGACACTTGACTGACAGCAATTCAGTGCACTGAGTTTTTTGCTTCAACCAGGTGGTATGGCTGTTCGGGTCCCAGTTCTCCTGCACGTTTATAAAGCAATTCTCACCTATTGTTTTGAAATGTTTGGGATCACACTTACGATGCGAATAATATTGTAAAATAAGATACTTTAAACACATGCATTTACATAAAAGAAAAATTCGGTTTTCTTTAACTGTTAAATGCAAAGTACACAGTGCAGCAAAAGTACAACAGTACAATGGAATACCAACTTTTGCCACTAAAGTAAATGCAACCGGTTACACCTCCTTTCACCACCATCCAACTCGCACACCCTCCCTTCCTTCTTTTACGCTCCACCCACCCTCTTCTCCGTACACTCTCACCAATAAAGTCGCGACATCAACAGGGATTCCTCTACCAATCGGAAGGCAGGCACATTCCAAGCCCCTTGATCGATGGCCAAAAGGGAGTAGTTTTTTTTTTTTTTTCTAACATTTTGCACAATCTTGTTACCATATTTAAGGCGAATCTCCTTCCAACTTCTGGGAAAAGCCTATCACACTCTCAAATCTGGTTTCAAGGCTGTAGACTTGAATGTGCATGACTAAAGCCGCCTCTTCGCTTCGCAAGACATATGGTACGACCAAGCAACAGTATGCGCTTGTTCTTCTAATTGACATTCTGCCTGATATTTAACTAAGACATAGTAAAGGGGAGGAAAATAAATACATTAGTAAACTCAACGGTAACAGAAAGTATTCAAAGTCAGGCAGAGAGAGGAAGCATCCATGGCGCGAATCATCAATCCGATATTATTTACTTATTTTCGAATTCAGTAGCAAGGAGGAAGCAGACTAAATGTGGACGGATTAGGTTGATAATGTAGCATCTGAAGGGAGAAAAAGGAGAAAATGAATTATGTGTAGAATGTTTGTCAACTATCATTTGCAAGTACAAAATAATATATTGCATATTTAAAGAGAGAAAAACAAAATTTTACATAGCACTATGGCATTAAAGAATTTGCTATTTATTTTATTTATCTATGGACAAATTAAGTAAAGTATTTTTCCAGAAATGAGTAAAATCCTCTGTTTTGATTTACTTCACAATTCATGTGCACAGTATTAATTAACTAAAGGGGTTATAGAGCTTATGGCACCGAACAACTTGAGGTAACCGAATAAGGAATGACAAAAACTCCAACCCCCGTGACCTCCATTGTTTCCATCCCATCTCCACTTCCCACGTGCCTTGTTTGGTTCACATGTCAACACGTGACCGCGTTATGCTAATTCCTAGTGGTGGTATGCAACACCTAAGGAGGTGTCCAGAGGATGCGGAGAGTGGGAGCGGGGAAAGCGTATTCCGGTATGCATGTCTTCTCACGGCTAAGATTTGCATTATCTAGTAAGACTGGAAAATTGGACGCTCTAACTCGTTCAAGAGTGGAAGGCGACCATAACCACAACCTTTGCCGTCCACAAATGAAGCACAGTTGGTTGAAGATGAAGTTTTGCGCCAAAAGTCGTTTCGAGGAGTAGTGAGTGGGTAGTCTGAGGACAATCAATGGCATGGTCATTGACTTAGCTGCATAGTTCCAAAGCAGCCGGAAATGATAGCCTTGAATGTAAATGACTATCCTTTCTGTGGAGCCGTATCATCGCACATGTCAAGCACCATGAAGTGCTCCGCCCTGACACCCATACCTCCAATGTCCTTGATTAATAACCACGCCTAATTCTTCATCAGGTTTCTAAGAAAATTAGGTATTTCAACCCCATGCGCTCTTCTGGAACCGACCCGACAAGGAGGGATCATGCGCGGTGCAACCGACACTTTACGTTACCCACACCTCAAAACGGCCCACCAGCGGTACCCAACAAAGCAAACAGTTTTGGTGGCCGAATTTATGGACACGGTGTGTAATAAACATAAACAAGTACTTTGACATTTTTTGTGGGTCTATAAAAACACAATACCTCGTTGCCGCGGGATTTGTCTCACTAAGCACTGAACAACTGTGGCAGTGTAAATGTGTTTACTTTGCCCCGAAGGCAAAAAAACCACACTCCAAAACTAGATAAGTAAAACATCGTCCCATTGAAAAATAAAAAAGGGAAGTTCTATTTGGTTCAAGAAGAAATCCAGTTTTAGCATTAACAAATGCAAAGCTTGGCATTTGCTGCCTTCAACCATAAATAAATTGTCCGAGAAAAATATGTCAGGAAAGTTTTTGCATATCATTGTGGCAGAAAACTTGAGGACTCAAAAAAAGGCATTTAAAAATAAAAGAGTTGCGGTAGTTGCTTTAACTTGTCTCGTTGCCAAAGAACCTAGCGCCACCAGCAAGTGGCAAGGGTGGCACACACACTTATTGCAGTAGATTTTTTTTCACAAGGGACTCTTACACCTCATGTTTAAGCCGCATAGGGGCGGGATGAGTATTTTCACTCCTCTGCCCCATCCCGCTTCTGCCTTCATTCATGCATTTGGCCAGGCGCCCGGATCTAAGGTAGAATAGGCGATTTTGGCAAGTGCTTTACAATGACGTTGGCCGATTAAGTTAAGGCGAATTCCGAAATACCCTGTACTACTTGACACAGACACTGAATTCTCTTTCAAAATTGATCAAAAAGTCGCAAAAGTCATAAAGCAAGACGGGTAACGTAAGCAGCGTTTAATCACAATACGAACAAAAAGCGCATTGTGCGTGTGGTATCTAGATGTACTGGCAAATCCGCTAAATAAGCTCTAATGGAAAGTAGGCGTGACGAGATAAATCGTCCATGTTTGCGTTAGCCTCTCATCCACTCCATGAGAGTACATTAGTTTAATGTTGCAATCCATTTTTCAGACGAAAACTGCTGACTTCAGAGAGTTTGTTTATCATATACAGTAAAAAATAACTACATCAAAGACATTCGACAGAGGAGGATTAATCATGGCCAACTTTGCTTTCTAGATAACGTCGGACTATCACTTTATTTATAAAATAATATATTATGGCAGTAACCCAACATCATGCTAGGTTTCACAACGAAATCAAGGACTTTGCTTATATTTCATTTTTTAACAATCATTCCAAGAATCTATATTTTTACCATTAGTTATTCTTAAATTTGTGTAAAAATATTGATAAAATTAAACATGATCTATGCTATCCAGTCAAATTGCTTGGTCTATCATAATGGGTGTTTCTTTTACGAAAAGACCACTTTAAGAACACTTAGCTTAACGACAAGATATTACCTTTCTTTACATTTTGAAGGTAATCTGGTTCCAAACAATTCCAGAAATCCCTGCTGCATTCGTTGTAATTTGGTGTGGCGCTTGACAGACTAGATGTTATCTTATGACACTGTTTTGCCACAAAATCCGGAATAGAAGAGGTCTTTAAATCATGAACACAAATATTCATTGTAGGGCTTCTAGGAATCCACCAACTACTTGAATCGGCAATTCGAGTCACTCTAAATCGGGAATGAGTTGAAGACTTCTCCTTCATGCTTGGGTCAAAGATTAACGCATCTTCTGTGGAGAGAGGGCCGACATCCTCAAGATGTATATTTTCCGAATTGCGTGGGGTCAGTGTCACCTTCCTAAAACGTTTACGCGAAATCTTTCGCAGAGGCAAACTGGTTGTTTTATGGCCTCCGGTGACTACACGGACAGAAGGTAAAGTGTCGTTTATCTTTTCGTGTTTGACGCTCAGAAGAATAAATCCCGGATGTTGCCCTCTTGTCGTTACTTTATAAAAATAAAGCAAAAATAAAAAATATTTACCAGGTGGTTTCCTAACTTCATCAGTGTTGTACTCTCCAGGCAGACATTTTGGTTGGGGTGCAAAGTGTGGGCTTCCTGGTCTTTCGGATTTTAAAGTTAAATCCTCGCTTTTAGGAAGATTTGCATGAACGTCATCAACGTTAGGGTAATAGAATAAAAAAGCCTTGTCTTGAGAATTCGGTGTTACGCATTTAATGATATCATCGCTTGTATATATTTGCGGAATCGCGGAATGAGTATGGTTCTGACAGCATTTCGGGTAAATATTTAACGACTGATCCATTTTCAGAAAATTGATGCTCGTTCCAGCAACAGTAGCCACAGAAAGTTTTTTTTCATCCTGACTCATATCTTAACAAAAGTACTCATAAAGAATTTGTACTTGAATTTGTCGTCCTTGTTCTAACTGAATAGCCAATGATTATTATGTACAGCCATTAAATAACTCGGTGATTTGGAACTAAAAGCGGTCAAGAATTGCCTTCATCGAAATCAATTTCCTGTGAATAAAAATCTGATCCTCGCGGCAGTGGCAAACCTCCAAAAACCTAAAGCGCCTAGGCTGGCATTTTTGCACAAAAGCCGTTTGATTGAGTTTCCAAGGTCACAAATTGAATGGCATTTGTAATGACCAAACGATTGGATTTTAAAAATTTGAAATTCTTTTCACTGTTTTTATCTATAATCGTTTGCACCTAAAACTAAAACGTTTTATGTCTTTGCGCATTTTCTCCCTTTAGTTTTATGTAGGACTTCGTTCCGCATAGGGTATGTAAGTTGAGAATTTCGTTTCATATCTAAATCGCCTTCGACATTGTATGCACTTTTTTATCAAATGGCTATGAAATTTCCACAATAGTGCATAAGAAGTTTCAGTGCTATACACAAAAGCCTTTTCTTCCTAAAAGAAAAATATCACACACCTTTTCTTAAAAATGATGGCATGGTTTTCCTCCTAACTTTTTAGGGAAGTTTACTAAAGAATTTGGAAAAAATTTAAAAAAGAACCTAAGTTAGCCCATTTTAATGGGAACCACTTAAATTCGAATTGTCTTCTGATGCTGAGTTGTATGCTCGCTTACTCGGTCATTTTAGTCGCAGCAACTTTTCGCCCTTTTACCTCATGTACCTGTTAGATACTTGCGTACCTCTCTCTCTTCCGTGCGTTAGCATATAAGTAGAAAGTTCCCCTGCACAATTTTGGCATATTGCATGTTCAGCAACCGCGCAACTGTGAAAGAAAATTGTTGAGTCCCATTGTAGCCGTACACACACCATCCATAATCACATCACTTTCAGAACAGCATATCATTTAAGGTCTTCTTATCACAAGCCCCAAGATCGAGCGTGCGATGTCTCACGCATTGTTCACACTCACTATGGTAAAAAATGATACTTGATTTTCTTTCCGTCTTCCCTAAAATCTTAACGACCCGAAGTAGCGCAGAAGGACTGAATGCTTACTAATGGTGAAGTGGGATAGGCAATGTTACTGCTTCGACTTAAAAGCCACTCTGCGTAGCGGGAGTACATCCAGCAAACACTGAGGTGTTCGAGTAGCCGAGCGCCTGTTTAAACAAAATAACCAATTACTAAATACACGGGCGAATAAATGGGTCAAATATCTTTAGCATGTGTTGCCAGGTATTTTTGTTAATAAGGTAAACCATCGGCTATTGAAAGCCTCAATGTCATAGTCGTTCAAATTGGTTTAAAGATCAAAATATCCCTTTTCGATCTGACATAACAAGCCGCATTATTTGAAGAAAGTCATGGAAAAAATGCATTTAAATGTCAAACAGCTACTACACATCAGAGAGTAGGAAAGTCCATGCGGATCAATTTTTTTTTTGAACCGACTAATTTACTCAATTTTGCAGTGTAAGGTACGCCCACGTAAATCCCGATCAAATCAATGTAAAAAAGAAATAAAACACTGATATCATGAAAATGTGAGAGAGCATTTAAAACCATCCTGTGGCCTTTTGTTTGTTTGATCTGAATAATGTTAAAAGAGATGTAAGAATGCCCTAGCAAAAGAGGGCTATAAAGATGCCTGCAATACCAAAGCACTGAAGGGATACATAAATAATTGCCTGTAAATCAAATGTAACCATAAGGAGGAGATATAGCCTTGGTTACGACCAATAAACTAATTGAACAACTCATGGTTGTGCAACTCTTAAGTGGTGGAGCCACCCATGGGACGCTTGACGCTACACGCGTAACTGAATTGTTTGGTGAAGGTGTAAGGAGGTGAGCAAGGTAATAAATCCGGGAGAAAAACGGTTCACAAATTCGTTAGATGTGCATAACTCCCTCCCGCATCCTAGTTTGAAGTGCGAAGGCTATATCGTGTAGGCGCGGACTTTTTGTCGTTGGGAAGAAGGTTTTGTATTCGCAACTCACCATCTTCTAGATAGAATTCACATGCTTACTTCCACTTTGCAAGCACAGATAAGTAATTATTACCAAGTAGAATTCTTGCTAAAACAATCTTCACGCCGCCACACAACATTGGACATGTTTTGGTTCTTTTATTAAAATGGTTCAATTAGATTCAATTGTAGTGTCCCGGGACTCCCTGAAGACGAAAGAAGACAAAATACTCGAGCAGAATACACATTCAGCGCAGAGAAGGTGTCTGGGCTATTGGCGTGGCCCAAAAGGCTAATTCGAAGTACAAAAGTGGCGCCTCACCAGAACCGAGGGATAAACCACTATCGTTTTACACAATTATACTGCTCACTTTGTTTCCGTTAGAAAGGCAGTCAATAGATTTAAGTTCCTTTAATTTAAACGTGTGAGCTTTTATTATCCTGCGTAAGCATTTTAGGCCTCGGTATTTAAGTTGAGCTAGCAATTACTAATGCTACAGTAATGCAAGAACGTCAACGAACCCGATTGAAAACAGCGCAGATGACATGCAATTAGGACCTAAACATTTACTCAACTTTAATATGTTAATATGTAAACAAAGTGCATAGTGTCAGCTGTCATTTCCCAATATCGCAAAACGTATTCACTTATTAATCTCAAGTTATTTCTTTTTCCTTTGTAAAATCGACAAATTGTATGGAAAGGCTAAAGTGCCAAGAATGCCAGACTTTGGAAAAGTTTTTCACCCACTTTTTTTCAAACCTCTTGGGTAAAGTTAAAATTAGTAAAGATATTTGTTTCTTTTTTTTTTTGCAAAAAACATGCATAAGGCAAATTTGGTGACATAATTTAAAGCATATATAATTTTCCTAAATGGGTACCTCTGGTACTTTGTAGGTTTCACATATTCTTTTCAATTTTTTGACCTGAGATTTCTAACCCAGAACTTTCTAAGGACAGTGACTTTATAGATCAAGTAAGCAATTTGTGGCGATTTGTTAGATATGGCATTTTAACGAAAAGCACCACTAGAGCAAAACGAACCCGTATTGTGTTGAGAAGAGACACACAGCGACGAGCACGCATAGCCACGCTGGTTGACTAATGCGATCGGATCAGGTATGTGTGAACAGAACCCTGGTAGAGGCTTAGTGAAGTATTTGAATAGTGCGGGATAATCAATTACTAAAAGATTTGACGGAAGACCCCAAAAAAATGGTCTGACTGAAGTTGTAATGCAGTAAGTCGTGCATGCATAATCCGACAACCCGAATAAATTATTATAAAGAAGCAATAACAACGCCCCGCCAGCCACCCAAACCACTTATCCAAATGCAGATAGGTGTCGCAAAACCAACTTCTGAGGAAGTCAGCCTTAAAAAAAGTATGCACAAAACTGTAGGAAACATGCTAGGAATTCTATTATTAAAAAGGCGGGCACGCGCATTAAAGAGAAGAAAAAAGGAAAAAAATGAAGAAGCGACCAATCCTTTAGGCCACCAGAAGTATGCCAATGATCTAGGGAAAATAAACATTAAAAAGGTTTAATTGGGA